GACCTGAAGCCAAGAATGCCTGTCCTGGCAAGGACCAACAGCAATTTACCACAGACAGACAGACAGCAGGTTGTGAGACAGATGACAGCCAGTAAGGACATGAGCAGAGAAGAAAAGGAATAACCAGTGTAGGGAGCCGCTACCTAGCAATGCCTTGTGAAGACTATAAGAGATGCAGAAGCCCTAATGTTCACAGTAGTAAACTGTGAAGAGTGGAGATTAGTAAATGTTATAATGATTTGTAGTTGTGAGTTGTAAGTGTTCAATAAATCCAATTCCCAATCCAAGCCCCATGTATAGTCACAACCACGTGACAAGTGCATTTGTTACAGCTCACCTGCTGTTGAGGTGGCTGTGGCTGTTGCTGCTGTTGTGGATGCTGTTGATGATAAGGGTATGGTGGAGGTACACTTAGTGCCTCACAACTTTAGCCGCGTGGAAAGGTAAACACTGTTGTGGAGCACGTGGAGGTGTATGCTTGCTGTGGTGACGTTCAGAGCTACTCCCCGAGCGGAAAACATTAGCTATTACTTCCCTGGCCTCACTATGAATTGTTCTGTGGGAATGTCGGTGTGCCACGATAGTGACACAAACACCATGTAATACAATCACTATGACTGGTACCAACTAACAAGCAACACAACGTACTATACACCTTACCACATTCCAAACTGGTAGTACCCACGCTGACATAAGCTGATGAGACTGCTCCCCCAGCCCTGCAAGAGATGGTATGACCCCTCTACCATGGCTAGAGTTCCGAGGAACTAACAGTAGTTGGTGTGAGGTTGAGGCCACATCAGGAGAGGGGTTGATGCACTCATAAAAAAAAGGGACAGGATGATCTGACCCAAGTGAAACTGTACATTCAGAAGACTAGGATATAGTATCTCAACATGGTCTGAACCTAGGTCTCTGTGCTGGGAAGCCACATCTAGCTACATGAGCTGTGCCATAACTATGGAACGACTCTTATGTATTGAAGCTTAAGGTCTGCATATCTTGATTCTGTCCCCAGCTGAAGGCTGTGGTAGCAGTTATAGGACGGACCACTAGGTGGGTTGAGAGGTACCTGTGTTTCAGTTGCCAATGAAGTCTCAACACTGCCAAAAAATAAATTCCCCTTAATTATAGTGTAAATATTCAACGAATGTATGATTTAATGTACATAAGTGGATCAATTTAGCGTTTCTGTGTGGACACTGTAGGTTGAGAAGTGAAAAATTTATTTCAAATATTTCAGAATAAAATGAGGCTGTGTGTTAATACAAGAGATGATTGAAAAACATACATGGGAAGAAAATGGAATGCATGGTAATAACTTCAAAACAATAGTTATTACTGAAACCTGTGTCTAACAGCGGTCTAGGAAACCGAAAATTAACGGCCATGGGGATTTGCTGTGCTGACCACACGACATCCTCTATCCACAAAAAAGATGGCACTAAACTTCGCTGACAAGCAGCAGTCACTTGGTTGGTATAGTTCACTTGCAGACTAAAATCACAGAGTTTAAATGTCTATCAGTGTTTACTTTGTACCTGACGGCCAAATCACTCAGCCATTGACAGTTATATTTGGTAAAGTTGTAAAGGAAGGAAATGGATCACTGTTGTTTGTGATGGTGATGTGAGAACAAAGAAACAGAGGTTAAGTATTTTTGACAAAGTTTGCTTTTATAAGCAAGATGTGCCAAAAAGATTTCATCTAGATGCAAGCAGCATATTGTCCTTCATTCAAGTCTGGTATCTTAGTCTACATTGTAATATGATACATAAAAATCGTTCACTGCTAGGTAATGGCCCAATAAACAAGTGAACCAAGAAGAACTGATTGGTGGTAAGCTGCCAGTCACAAAGTAACTCTGACTCTGACTGACTGAGTGATGGCTAGCAGGCCATGAAGTGCATGTTAGAGTTGAGCTGCAAGCCAGGTGTGATGTGTGCCCAGAAGGAGAGAAGTTCCATTATTAAATGCCATAACCTAGTCATGCCTAATGAAGACTGTAATGAAGCAACGAATAGTGGAGACTATAACACAGAGGTTCTCAACCTTTATGAGACTGCAGCCTAGTAAATTAATTTTTTATCAGATGAGAGGCCGGTACCAGGCCACAGCCCTGCGGTTGAGAAACACTTTATAACAGACTGAAAACACATCATGTGCTCTAGTGATGTGTAGTGTGTGCGTAAATTAGTGATAGTGTTAAAATTACTTCTAATTATGAGTCATAAGTAGTTAATAAATCCAATTACCAATCCAAATTCTATATCCAGTCACGAACATATTACAATATGTAGCTGTCTTTCCTAAAACCTTTTACACTTGGTTATTTTTTATTGAAATTTATTTTTAACAATTTTTTGTTGATCTTTCAACAGGCTTTATGCTACATAGAAATAAAATGCAACATTGCAACATTACTTTACCTTTAATAAGATCATTTAATTTCTCCTTAACTGCTGTAATTCTCATTGCTATATCAGGATACGGAATCTCAAGTTTTGTAAACACGGGCTTTTCAAGAACTCGGGTAATAGTCATAGACAAAAAGAACAATCATATATTAAAAGTACCTGCCATTGGCATGCTAAAGAGTGTGGAACAAATACATTTTGTAGGTTAAAAATATTACAATTCAACTGTAATTTACTTCTTAAAATATTTTCTTGATGTGACAATCATTCAGGCAGCAAAGAATGTGATGTTGCATGCCAAGCTTGTAACCGTCCAAACCTTTTAATGCTCTTTAATGGACGCTATGTTCCACTTTAGCCATTTCAATAGAGTGACTGATTTATTAGGGAGACCCATCCATTAAGAAGTTTCGCATTTAGACAGGAACAACTGCCTTGTTCCGTTACCTGCAGCTTGGGTGACCGCTAAAGGGACATGGCCCATTATGAAAAGACATGTCTGTTGTTTTCCTAAGATGTAAATGTTGTTTTGCTAATAGGGTTCCGGGTTCAATATCTTTGGATCTCTTTATTCTCAAAGTTAGTAATGTGATTGTCTAGTACTGATGGTATGATGAATTGGCAGTTAAAATCAGCCATTAGGAAATTATTCTTGTCTGGGAGAAAGGCCGTCGGTTCAAATCCTATACAGTGGATGAAGCGACTCTCCCGCAGAATAGAGTGGACAGAAGCACTTGGCATTTTGAATTCACCAGAGGCAGACGTAATTTACCTGCTCTCTCCAAGTTTATCTAAATTTAACAGTACTTATTTGGTTCGATTAATCTTTGATAATAATAATAAAAGGGCACATTACTCCCTACTTGCCAATAAAGATATAGTGTTTGCTTCTGAATTAAACAATTTGTGATTAAGCAGAAATAGAGTATTTTATTTCTATCAGTGGACTAGCTTTAAATGTGCAGTCTCCGAGTTGACCCAGTTATTACCGTGACACAACCCTGAGAAGAGTCAAAAGTGTTCTACCAAAGCGGGCAAACAAATAAATAAACATAAAGATAGATAGGCAACGGTCACAAAAAGTGGCGAACAACGGTTGCGAGAAGAGGCAGCCGAAGTGCGGTTGTAAGCTGAATCCAAGGTATTTTCTTAGAATTTAATAGTTTTACAATTACTATAGCATAGCAAACCAAAAATGAAACGTTTCAAAAGAAGCTTATAGATATAACTAACACAGATTCAGGATCTCAGGTCATCCACCATCACTCTCCCCATGTGACAGGACTTTTTTTTAGCTTCTGCACAAATATATAAAAAATTATGGTTCATATTTAACCAAGTATGTTTAGACTCGAAGAGTACTATCTACTACTAATGTAGCGTGCTGAAAGTAACAGACATCTTGGAGGAGCATTTCAGGGTCAAAGAATAAGATGAGCAAGACAGCAGCGTGTAAGCAGGTGGTTTCTTGTTTGGCTTACTTTTCGTCCCTGAAGATGCTGATATTCTCCTCCAAAATGTCAGCTGACATCTAGTGGAAACCTCAAATCCTACATGTCTGGGCTCCATCTCAGAAGGCATCCGAACTCTGTCACTGTTCACATGACTGGTGTTTGTGGAAGTTGGGGAGATTACTCATGTCATGGCTATCCCTAAATGCAGTTCACCACTTGTACTCCTGTAATTTTGACAGTGCCTCATTCCCAAAGTGCACTCTAAGCAAAGTCTAAATGTTCCTGACAACAGTGTATTGTAGTAAACATGACTACTATTTTGGGAATGACCTTGAATTTTTTAAACACGGACTTTCCAAAAATGGTTCTGTTTCCATCATTAGGTATAAACAAGGAATGGTCTTTACTCACTTGGGGCACACTACCAAAAGCCAGAGTTTAAATCAGTGGATGCCAACCTATTACCTTGTAGTATGACAAAGCACAGCATTGTTTACCATGAATAATAAAAATTCTGGGTGAAATGTGAACCGTACATCTGTAACTTATTGCCTACGTTCGTGGCGTTATGAACAAAATTGATATAATGATTCATTACACAAAGAGTTTTGAGGTAAAATTAAAACAATTTTTATATTTACATTCTTTTTATTCTTTACAGGAATATTTTAATTATAAATCTTTTTAAGATGTGAGTAGTTGTCTTGCTTTACAGTTAAAAGAAGACAACATTGTCAGTCTGTGTTCTGGTTTTTAGATGCTTATTTTAGATATACACAATCTTTATATTACTGTATACTAGTCTTTATTTCAATTTATTATATAATTAATGTATGTTATACAAAACTCATTAATGACATTGTGTTTTAACTATTAAATTTTTAATTAACAGACTTGTATAAAACTGTACAAAGTGTATAAGGTTTGCCATTACTTTTACTACTAAAATTAACTTATTTATTATATTGTATATGTTTATCAGTATTTTATACAAATGTGTCTGCTACTGGATGACAACTGTAATCCTTAGTTGTAACTGTAACTAGGACGATCTCCACATCTACGTGAGAATGTACTCTCGACAGGATTTATGGAAGGTGAATAAACGAAATGAAATCATATTGGATAATTTCTCACAAGAATATTTTTTATTCTTAAGTTCTTTCTGTGTGTCATAATGAAGTTCAGTTGCCTGCAGAACCCGCTGTCTTCCTTTGGTAATGATTATATCTGTCAACCTGAAAGTAACATCATGCACATTTCAATATCTTGTTTCTTACTACAGACATATTTCTTACATTATAATGCTATGCTAATAAGGATGCAATATTTTCAAACCAAGACTGGTGAAGTGATAACATTCTATCCCACTGAAACAGCACAGGTTCGATCCCAGATCAGGTCATGAGGGATTTGTAGTAGACAAAGTACCACTGGGGCAGGTTTCCTCCGAGTATTTTGGTTTTCCCTGCCAATCCTCATTCCACCAACTGCTCCACACTCATAATCATCTATCATCCAGGGCGAATACAATTGGCCAAACAGTGGCCAATGTACCAAGTGGACTAATTCTCACCCCACCCAAAGAAATTAAAAAAAAAAACTAAATTGAATTAAATTAATGGTCACCGATTTTGACTGATGCCTGCGAGCTTTCATCATATCAACTGCTGGCAATATAGTCAAGACTCCACTTTCAAAGAATAACAGCATATATCATCTACAAGATTATCAAAACATAATTACCTGACTTCAGATAAAAGCCCACGTATCATATTCTTTGTTTCCTCTGCTATCTCATGGATAAATTTGTACTTATGGTGATGATGGTCAGTAAACAGACAATCCTGACATATCAGTATGTCACATGCTACACAAAACAGGGAAGGACTCCTGAAATATCCCAAAACAATAAAATAATTACATTTTCGTGAACTGCACTTGATGCAACAACCACGCATTTTTAGTCAGCAAAATGACACTACTACTTTTAGGACATGGCGGTTTATAGGGAGGGGGAGGTGTACACTTTCAAAACCAGCAGATGTGCATTACTTCTTTCTCTGAAAATACAACTCAAAATACTGAAATGGTTTGCCATTTCGGCATAAAACCTTCCTTCAAAATAACAGAATCTCCAGACATTTAACTTACAATGTCTGAGCTTTACATATGAGATTGCAAGCATTGCAGAAGTAGGACTGCTACTTTCTAATACTATAAATAATACAACAGTACAATGGAATATTCTCATGCACCATGATATATTATTACTGTGGTCTGCCAAGACCTGCATGCACAGTAGCAACTCAATCACGCACATCTACTTTATTTCTGCATTTAAAATAAAGAAACGGTGAGCCCTCTGAATACATATGACACAGATGGTGGTAAGCTGTCATATTCAATATGAATACAATATGAAGTATTTTTCCTTTCTCTGTTTTTTACACAACTACTAGCACTTATTTTACTTACATGACATGCTATCCACAGTTGGCACTGTAGAAAAATTGTATTATTAATGCAGGAGAATAATATGTTGACCTCACGAACATTCTCCACATTTTGTTAACCTACTTTACGAGACACACAATACCTAAAAGCTGTGTGCAGACACTCTAAAAGTTTTGGTTCTTGCACTGCAGAAAGTTTAACCTGGCAAAATGCACATTTTACGGGCTCATCCCGTTATTGGGCTTGGAGCATCTACTTCACTCACTTGGTTACAATTGCAGTTTCATCAACCTCCTGTATGGCCGATGAAAATGTTTCAAAGGCTTCAATGTGAGAGCTTATTGAAAAGAACATACAATCTTCGACACTTATTTACGATAATACATTAGTGGTAACTTAAAACGCACACTACTACCAGTGGACTGGAACCGGAACGCTTCGGCGAGGGGGAAACGCGGTAATGGCGGTAACCACGCGGTGACAACTGTAAACACTGTAAACTACCTCCACTGCCTCTATGTGTGGAGACAGATACGACAGATACTACCCACAGATCTCGACCAATCAGAGCCTAAAGAAACCAATTTGAAACCCCGCAATTTTTGTTATGCGGTTATGGTAGTTCATTCTGTGCCTGACCGGGTCATGACCGGTCATAAGAACGGTCGTTGGTAAGACACCATGGTCACTTGGTGTTATCTGCGACGTCTGCGACATCTGGATCTGGACGATCTGGACATCTGTTGAATTAAATCACTTCCCGGGGTAATGTGTAAAAGTACGGACATCAGCCCCCCCCCCCAAAAAAAAATTATTGTAAACCGCAGACGTTGACAATTAATAATTTTCGTCCTAAGGTGTACTAGTAGCTAAGCAAATGTTAGATTGCAGCCATTTTTGTTCGATATTTTCGAGGCATCGTAAGAATAAGGACTACACGAACTGGGTTGACTGAATTGCTTTCTTTCCATATCTTATTAATAATAACACAACACAGATTTTCATTCCATTCATTGGCAGAGATTATTTACGTTTCACACAGTGAAATTTGTGCAATTTTTAATTTTTGTGTCCCAAGAGAATGGGTTATATTCTGGCTGGGTATTCTCCATTCAGTTCTTTATATACAGCGTTAATAAAAAAGCTATTCTAATTTATTCTGAATGGATCACTGCGTATCGTCGTTGAGTGTATTGTGTTATGATTGGTGCTGTAACGAATATTCATCGTTATTGGTAGAATTGGTACACAAACTTCAGGAAGTACGAAAATACAAACTGAATTGCATATAGTTTAAGGAGAGTTCAGTGAATTAAGTTGTAATATAGACAAAATATTGAGACTGACCTGTATGCCATTTAGGCTTGTATGTTTATATCCGAAAGAACTATGTATGTGGCGGTACGGGTTGTGGTGTGGTATAGTGTCGACGGGAACAGCTGAAGGCATTGCGGAAAGTTATGTCTGTTATATACGTATTGAGGCAGAAATATAAGAGGAAAAGTTTCTTGGGGAGGACGTATATGGTAATACCGGGATTGTCTTCAGCGGCTTCAGCGTCCTGCTGAGTGATCCAGGAACTGCAACTTTTCTCTCTACACATCGCTTGTGTATGTTGAGTCGAAGTTCCCATCTTGGCTGTAAAACCCTATTCGGTATTTTGCTATTGTATGTTACAGTCCATGTGCCAAATAGTTATTTTTACTAAAGACGTGCCCATTTGATATTTTTATTGTCTGTAAAATGTGTTGTAATACATATACATGCTTGGACATCAACTCACAGCTGTTAATCAAAGTTCATAATCGTTCCTATCTTTGCAGTGAATTTTAAGTCACCAGCCAAGAGTTGTGTCATCCTGTGTGTAATATTTGTCTCAGCAAATGATGTCAAAGTTCGTACAGTTTTATCTCGTTTACGTCTCTCCATGACGATACCGAGAAACCTCTGATAACCCTTGTGTTTTTGTTTCCATCCTTGTCAGTATAAGATACCAGATGTGATTAACAGTGTACATAGTCTATAAGGATTTTTATATCAGTCATTGCATAGCAGCTGAATGATAGGAATTTGTTCTTCAGGATTTAACATTTTAGTTCATGCTTTTACAAGTTTCACGGATATATAAAGATGGTGATTGACAGATTTTACCGAAAGCCTGGCCTTAGCTTTGCGGCTACTGCAACAAAATTGAGACAATTAAGGCAGCATACCCCACTGGTGAAAGGCTTAGAGACAGAATTATGTTTCAATATAGAGACCACATCTACATTCTCAGATTCTGAGTTGGAGAAGATTCGGTGGATACTTGGTTCTCCTCTGGAACCAGAGAACCTTACAACAGAATCAAACCTACATGGAGTGTATCGTGGGAGCTTACTTATTGAGATAGGACCAAGGTAAGTTTGATGTCATAGGATCAATGCTCAGTTACAGTAGACTCCATTATAAACTTTGTGGATTAACTGTGGCTCTTATAGTTAGGTATTTGTTGTAGCTTCCTCTAATGATTTAAGTGTTGCTCATTACATATGTTTCAGTAGTATGCATCATTGATTCATTGAAACAGTTTGCACCAGGCCATGTGTATTCTCACATATTGCAATTTTTTTTATTATTTCATTGCTTTTTACTCAGACCTACTGTCACAGAACAAAGGTTACCTCCTAGTGTTGGAACGGTATGTCTCACTGTTTAGTGACCAGTAGCTGGACCACTGAGTAACAATTAATTTATTCTCAGGATTGAATATAGCATGGATAGTAGATAATTGTAATGCCTTACAATATCCCAACTGGATGTACCAGCATAACTCAAGTTCTTAGTTTTTATTAAAACTCTGATATCCATCAGATAAATAAGATGTAATTAAATCATGAAATTTCCCATCTATTCCATAAAATTGAAGCTTGTTCAATAAAATCCCATGATTAACACTATCAAAAGCTCATATAAGTTAGTGGAGAAATAATTTTTAGAACTTTAACTGATATTTTGTCATAGCCATGAGATCCATTTGTTATTAGAGATCTAATAAATTTAGATATCTCAGCAGACATTACAGCGATGACTGAAAGTTTGTCGCAAGTAATCTAATGGTTTATTATTAATTTTACAATTTTTATTTATATTACTTTCAACCACAGATAAGAAGAAACTATTCAAGGAATCTGCTATAGCTTGTCTATTACTGATAACCTCTACATTAACTTTTAATTCCTGAATTGTGTCTACTTTGGTTAACTTCCCAGTTAATAGTTTTGTAAAGTCCCAGACAGTTCTTATTTTGTTACCAGAATTTAATATCTGTTTATTATAATGCCTTCTTTTAGCTTCCCTTATAACGTTTTTTAGTATCTTACAATATTGTCTATAATGATTCTTCAAGGCCTCATCATTACTATTTCTGCATAATAAGTAAAGATCTCTTTTATGCCTACAAGAGATACTTATGCCAGGAATCATTCATTAATTATTATTTGATGATTATCCGTTCTTTTAGAGGAAAACTTGAATAGAATATTCAGAGAAATAAGTTAAGAAAAAAATTAAACATTGTATATATGTCATTAGCACCAAAGACTTGAGTCCCAAGTTTCAAAACTCAGCTTATATTTGAAATCAAACTCAGTAGCCTGATCAATTATCCTTACTGTTTTTTCCCCCTTGACACTCCAATTCTTAATAAACACTTTAACTTCTGTTAAAACAATTAATTGTGCATCATGGTCAGAAAGCTCATTAAATAAGGGATATACGTAGGTAAGTCAATAAGTAAGTTACAAAAGGATATAGAACTTAAACAAATAAGAGTACTGATTTGAAAAATGCTTTTATTTCTCACCATAATCTCCCTCTACATTGAGGCACTTGTCCCATCGTTTCACAAGTCCCTGAAAACCAGCAGTATAAAATTCTTTGGGCTGCTGTCAGAACCAGGCGGTGACTTCCCTTTCTACAGCTTCATCGTTGGGAAAATGTTCAGCCGAAAGATGATGTTTAAGAGGGCCGAACAAATGGAAGTCACTTGGAGCAAGGTCGGGGCTATACGGAAGATGCTTGAGGACTTCCCGCTTGAAATTTCGCAGTGTCTCATTTGTCTTGTTGGCAGTATGGGGACACGCATTGTCATGCAAGAGCAACATGCCTGGTTCCGACATGAGCCCAAAGAATTTCATGCTGCTGGTTTTCAGGTGCTTGTGAAATGGTGGGACAAATGCATCAATGTATGGGGAGTTTATGTTGAGAAATAAAAGCATTTTTCAAATCATTACTCATATTTGTTTAAGTTCTATATCCATTTGTAACTTACTTATTGACTTACCCTCACATTACATAACTCCCCTGCAGAGACACATAAATAAATATCTATCTATTGCAGTTGCAGAATCATTTTGTAATCTTGTTGGAAAATTCACTGTACTCGATAAATTGAATGAAGCTAATAACAAATCCATTTTCTTCTTTTTTTATCAGTTAAATAATTAACATTAATATCACCACAAAGAACTACTTTAGTATTATTTCTAAAAATAATAAGAATAGATTCTAATTTAGATAAAAAAAGAGTAAAATTACCACTAGGAGCTCTGTAAATTGATATAATATAAATATTATCAGAAAAGTTTGATAATAAAATTGCACTTGCTTCATATGTTGATCAATAGAGAATGTGCTCAGATCAATTTTAGAGTATCTTTAAGCCACAATGAACATAAATACAAACACCACACTTTTTCATAGAACGTCTACAATACCTGGCTCCCAGGGTATAATTTCCTAGATGAACTGTCTCGAGTTCCAACTGATTAAGGTGTTGCTGAGATAAGTACTATATGAGGAAAATCAGGATATAAAAAATGTTTAAATCTCATCAATTTTACATCATAGTCCTTGAATATTTTGATGGTAGATTTGAAGGACCGCCTTAGATATATTTTTTTATGACTCTTTACTCGACGGAAAAATAAATTTGCCCGAATTTACATGAGATAAATGTACTTTAAGCATCTTAAAATTCAAATAATTAGGTCCATCACATGAACTATAGCATTACTAATTAACCTGGAAACCGGCTGTATCATAAAAAATGGTGGTTCAACTACAGAGATCATGCAGCAACAGATGAAATAGGATGATTACTATGAATGATAGGTAAATAATATGGAAGGAGGCTGTCATGATCTATTTTGAGATACTATCTTGACATTTGCGTGGAAAGACAGGAAAACCATGGAAAGTAAACGAGAATAGCTACTATCCTTATCTTTTTATTGATAAAGTTTCTGACCTAGAATCCTTGTCTTTTGCAGGTTAAACTTCTCAACTGCCTTCTCAAGTAATGCTGTTTCAATATGTAACTCCATTGGTTTGAATATGGTGAAAAGGCTAGAAGTTTCGACTAGGTACCTGATCCGCTGGGAACAAGATGGGCTTGCTATCAGTCCAGGGCTGGAGGAAGAGGTGTGTAAATATACTGATTGCATATTAATCACAACAGACATGAGAAAACCACCACTGCAAAAAGAATTATACAATTTTTAGATTTGATATTTCAGCATATCTTGCACAGAAATGTGTTTCCTGATAAGTGAAATTTTGTGCCTTTCATAATATAAAGTGTTGTAACATTATGTATCACATGGGCCATTTGTAGAAGGAACTCCAGTTTCATCTGTCCTCCCATTTGATTAATTCCTTACATAGCTTCCCTTGCTCTTGTGCCTTTTGTTTCTCTCCCAGTTCTCTTCTGCCTCCTCCTCATTTTTATATCCCTTATTGCTCCTCCCCCATCAAGAAATATATTTTTAAGAATTTCTTCACTAATTTACAAACCATGGAAATCATTACTGTTGTAACTCTGGAAAATCTATCTCTAAATTGCTTTTGAAATTCTTGCTTGTCTTATGCTTGACATAATGGAATGAGTCTGTTGCACAGTTGCAAAATTCAAAGAACTACTTAAGGATGCTACAGAGAAGTAATGTTTCCTCTGAATGTCTTTCTTTGTCTGTAGTTTTGCAATGAAGGACTGTACCATAAAGTCATGTAAGTGAATACCTTATATATATTTTTTTATTATTATGACTGCTGTAGTAGTAGATCCATGTAATATGTGAATTATTCTATGTGCATCTGAATTAGATCATGTGTATATGATCTTAAACTTGACCCTTGTTTAACTGTGTAGTTGACAGGATTACTGCATGATCGCATGACACAGACTCGCTACTTTACACCTATCGAGAGCTTTGCACTGCACTTAACTCCAGAAGATTGGTATGAAGTTGATGTGCTGTCTGCTGGAAGAAAGGCACTGGAGGATGTGAATTCTCATCTAGGTATATACAAACTGACCTGGTTACTGTCCATTAAATGATTTTTTTGCAGAAACCATAAGACCTTAAATGTATATTTATATGTGCATGTATCTTATGTGATAACTGTATGTATGTATTTGACAAGGTTTCTTTGCTTATCTTCATTAAAAAATGTAGAGTTATCTTACATTTAGGAATTGCAAAAATACTTAGAAAGGTGATTAAATCATTTCTGCGAGAATGGACATCTTGCATTTGTGGCAGGAGCCAGGATAGCCGTGTCATTGTAATAATAGGCCATGGTCTGTATGGCCAGGATTTGATTCACAGCAGGGGTAAGAGATTTTCTCTTCTCCAAACCATCCTGACTGGTTCTGGGGCCCATCTAGCCTCCTATCCATACCAGGGGCTCTTTCCCCAGGGTTAAAGAGGTCCGGGTGTGAAGGTGACCACTCACCTCCATCTAGTGCTGAGGTCAAGAACGATCAAGCTATACCTCGAATTCCCATACATCTTCATGGGGTGGTGCTTAATTAATTAAGCACAGGAAAAGTTCAACTTTACCTTATTCATGTAGTGTTAAATGGGAGTAAACTGACGAAGAGGAGATTTGGGATGACTGAAATAGAAGGAGGGCCTGGGTTACTAGATGACTTATGTAAAGGTAGAAATGTCCAAGGAAGAAGAACAAAATTAATGCTATGCTGAAAATTTATGTGCAGTTGATCTTATGCATTTTAAAATTATTTTTTTTTGAGTATGTGTGTTCAGTTATTATATCTGAACAAAAATTTAACAAATCACATGAGAGAGTAATGGGAGCCCACACACATGGATGAATGTCTCTTGATAGGCAGATTCCTTCATTTTTATGAACTGCATGCAGTGCTAATTTTAAATTATTAGCTTTGCTATGCTGCTCTCTCTTGCTTTAACATGTTGCCATGGGATGGTTATGGGATGTTTGCTGGTTCATAAAATGTGGAGCGTTACCTCTCTGCCCCCCTGTATGTACTCATGATATGGCTCTGAGTCATAAGGCACCTCTGTCTTTTTCTGTTGTTTTAAGCAAAGAAATGAATGTTGTATGCCATACGAAGAGACAGAACTGTGTAATCCACCAGTTTCTATATATAACTGAAATAGGTGTCACTGTACTATTTGTTTTTTAATTGGATCTGATTTTTCATAATATCTTTCAGGCTTGGCATTTGATGATTGGGATCTTGACTTTTATACAGACCTGTTCAAAAATAAGTTAAAACGTAATCCAACTAGCGTGGAGTGCTTTGATCTAGCCCAATCAAACAGTGAACACAGCAGGCACTGGTTCTTCAAGGTGAATATTTTCTGACATGACCATTTTAACTTACTATTTACGTCTAATAGTATTAATTGGTGGATGGGTAGGTGCTGGCTGCTCACCGTGGAACCTAAGGCTCAATCCCAGGCAACTTCATATGAGATCCATGGTTGATGAAGTGTCACAAGAGCAAGGTTCTCTCTGAGTTTCTCCACTTTTCCCCACTAATTGTCATTTTATCATTATGTCTTTTTCACCGCTTACTGAGGTATATGATAACCCTGTTTAGGTGGCACATTTTCACATTCTCAGCCTTTAAATTTGGGGCTTCATTTCTGACAGAGTACTTACCTGGTTACACAGTAAGGATGTTGTTTTTAGTATTAATTGGCACATAGAAGCATTGTTAATTTTGTGTGTACTTTGTATGTGTAGGGTCGAATGGTGATAAATGGGAAGGAACAACCGAAATCACTGATAGACCTGATCATCAACACTCAGAATTCTACCAACCCAAATAATGTCATCAAGTTCAATGACAACAGCAGGTATAGATAAAATGTTATATTTTAGCATCCTGTTGCACTGATTCATGTCCATAATGTGTATTTATGCTAACCGTCTTACAGTGCACAAAATTTCACCTTTCTCTTCACTTTTACACTACATGTTTCGGCACTAATGTGCCATTTTCAGGTGTGTCTCTATCCACATCAAACTACTACACTGCATGCCATGACATCTCCATCATAAAATGACTAAAATGTGTATTCGTCATGTATAACAATAAATTCTAAGTACTAAAACCTTTCAGAATTCGTCATCCATACGTCGTACCTCAAATACGCGAATCACGCCAATCCTCCTCTATGGGAGCACTCTTCCTACATTCATGTGTGTATTGTGCTCTGTGTTGTGTCTTTCTCTTGTGACTGCGTGTGTTGTACTCCGCACGCAGTCACAAGAGAAAGACACAACACAGAGCACAATACACACATGAATGTAGGAAGAGTGCTCCCATAGAGGAGGATTGGCGTGATTCGCGTATTTGAGGTACGACGTATGGATGACGAATTCTGAAAGGTTTTAGTATTTAGAATTTATTGTTATACATGACGAATACACATTTTAGTCATTTTATGATGGAGATGTCATGGCATGCAGTGTAGTAGTTTGATGTGGATAGAGACACACCTGAAAATGGCACATTAGTGCCGAAACATGTAGTGTAAAAGTGAAGAGAAAGGTGAAATTTTGTGCACTGTAAGACGGTTAGTATAAATACACATCATAGATAAAATATTTATTGTTTCCATCAACACAACAATTCTTTAAGAGGTATGCAAATGAATTTTTACATTAAAGTCATGAATCTTAAAGGCATGACATGTTTTGACCTTTATTGATTCATCATCAGGTGTCAGATGGTGTTAAGGTTCTGAACTTGTACCCCATACGGATCCATATTACGGTTGTCTGTGCACTATACAATATCACACTTGTAACAAGACACTCAGGGTTATGTACTACTTGAAAAGCAGTTGGGCTAAGACTGGATGAATCATTATGCATCCAGTTAGATGTCAAATTAAAGCTAAAATTAAAAAATTATTAAAATTAAAATGACAGTATATACAGGGTGTCCCAGGAGGAATGTGCCAGACTTCGGGAGGGTGTTCCTTATGTTAAAGTATGCCAATATAACCCAAAACACCTATGGCCAAAGTTGAACGGTTACGGAGATAATGGCTAGAGAAGTGTGAAACTTTGACAGGTGTTACACACTTGTTGATTACCAAATACATATTAAAACTGGCAGGAATATGTGGTTTCTGTAATGTTAATATTGTACATAACATCAAACTAACTTGTGAGTGACATGAAGCCATTAAATTGAACGACAAGAAAACTCGCACACCATATCATAGTTGTCATTAGGGTTCGAAGCACTATACATGACACTTGAATGGCAAGCACCGACATAACATGGCTGACTGTGCATTCTGGTATGCGAGTGTGTGCGGCTAGTGTGAAGCATCATCACCACACTCAAGGACAAACATCGATAAGACTTGTCAGCTGACAGGTACAGTGTGTGGACCCGCCAGAAGAACACACTTTTCACGGGCCATTATCTCCGTAACCATTCAACTTTGGACATAGGTGTTTTGGGTTATGTCAGCATACTTTAACATAAGGAACACCCTCCCAAAGTCTGGCACATTCCTCCTGGGACACTCTGTATAGGTATGTATTGTTTCTCGGGTATGTTGTTCAATCTAGTTCAGTTCTTCTTAAGGGATTATGTGTCTTCTTATAATAATCTTGTCTCTCATTTGTTTGGGTTGTAAGGTCAGTGTGTTAGTTTTGCTGCTGAGATGACATTGTCTTGAGGTATGAAGTATTCTTATCTTGAAGCTCGTTTGAATATTGTCACAATGTTGATGAATTAAGGATTTTATTTGTTAATAACTCATACAGGATCTTCCTTCATACCTCATCCTTTAATTAGCTATTCAAGAAATTTCCAGTTATAACATGCAAATACTCATGATCATCACCACAATAGGTCTCTGGTACACTATATCCAAATACAGTCCAATCAGATTCATAATTCTTTTTTTCATGTGCATTCCTTTGTGGGAACATCCCACATTATCACGCATTTTCTGCAACGCACACCCTTCACATCACTTTTCACCATCACACGTGCTAACCAATCAAATTGCTCCAAACGTTCGCATTTATACTGCGCTCGCTGCTAGCCCCGAATCTACATCATCACGCGTGCTAGCCAGTCAATTCTTCCTTCTCAATTTCAAGTTTCGCTCCACGCACCGAGCAGTGTATAAAAAAAGGAGCAGACGCAAACCTGCATCAGTCAGTCGATCATCAGTCTACGATCAAGCCACACTCAAGCAACATCAGCCAGCAGGCTTCGTCGCCAGCGCTCGGTCTTCGGAGGCATCGACAGGCTGCGCCAGGCATGACTGCCTCCGCCCTCTGGCTGTCTCACAACCGACTCACTGGGGCACCTCGCCTGGACTCGCCAGTGGTCGTGTCACTGTCCAACCCACTGGGCATCTGGCATAGCCACTGCCTCATCACTCCTACGACCACGCTCAAAGACTAGCCTTTCACCAGCAGCCGCCGCGCTGCAATCAAGCAACCTCCACCATCCGCCACACCGCGATCAAGCAACGGCTGCACTACGGCCAGTCCACTCATCGCAACTAACCTCTCTCCCTACCAGCGCGCACCGCGCTACCTCACCGGTCAAGCATCTCAGCAACCACGGTCCTTTTCAGGACTAACAAACTGTTCCGAAGAAGTGGGTTGTCATCGGAGTAATGACGAATGACAAAACTACATAAAACCCCACACCTTCAATGCCATGTTCTCCCACCTAATTTTATTACATCACTTTTCCTGACTGGAATATTATAAGTAAGGTACTTCTCGCTTTCTCAATGCATGTCAATCCAATTATGTGTGCACACATACACACTCACCTGGGAGCAGGTTTGACTTACTTATTTTTTTGTCAATAAAAGGTAGATTACACACCTAAAGTAAGAACAAAAATGTGAAAAATATATGCAAAATTATTTGTTGGCACGGAAAACGACAGGCATTATAATTGTGAAATCATTAAGATTTAAATTATATGAGAAAACACTTAAAAACAACAGAGTAATGAGATAATAAAATATCTTTTATAGGGATGGACATACTGATATTTACCTTTATAGGAGAGCAGAACTTGTTGAACCAGTGTCATATGTGAGGGGCACTTCCTCATTTGTTTTGGCAGTGTAGGTGCTAAATGTAATTATGCATGCAACCAAAGGCTTCACTGTGTGAATTCTTTATTGTTTAACCAATATTAAGCCTAGCACATCACCATGCATAAACAGGCTCACATTCACTTTACACATTACCAGCCTCTACAGCTTTAAGTTTGAAACTAGCAGTCCAATTGAATCAAATTCCAACAAAGACTGTGCTGGTTCAGGAGAGAAAAAGTAAGAATGGAGACTCACTGTTTGAACTTATCGATTAAAGAGGTAAAGAAAGTGAATGAATATTCATAGTCAGTGAAGACATTTAGTAAGTTCTCTAGCTGTAGTGGAAAGAACGTGCAATAATGGACTTACTTAGAGCACGAAACATCAGGTGTCATTAGTAATAACATTTTGGCTCACTGGTTATATTATCATACATCTGCTCTTGAAATAACAGTTTTTTTTAATAGTACCATGCTATAGCCATTTTGTGAACAGCATATTTTAATATAATTTTAATATTTAATAAAATAAATTATTTTAATAATTAATATTTAATTTTAATGTATCACATTTTAATGTGACTGGGAGATCAGAGAGAATTCCAAAAGTTTTCAAAATATATACCGATTGTTGTTTATTATTCTGTCTTTTCATGAAAATTTGTGAAATGGATTTCAGAGAATTATGGATTCAAGTGTGTAGCTACCCATGCTGGAAGATGCTGTCAAGATCCGAATTCATGTAACATACATGTGTGCTTTGACACTGCTGGCCAGCTAAGCAATGCATAGAATGAAAGCTTTATGAAGATATGAAGGAGGCAGCTTTTTGTACCAGGAAACAAAAAAAAAAATTGTAACACATTTTCTGCATTTCAATGAGTGTCACATGTATTGGAACCTTGTGAGATGAAGGTGGAGAGAGAAGATAATCGTCTTTTCCTGTGGCCTCCTCTGGTTCACAACAACAAAGCCACAACAAATTATATTGTTATTTACCGTGGTAACATCAAATATCAAGGCGAAATTTTATGTACTAAAACTCAGGACAACAACCTCAGATACACCTGGATGCTGTTTGTTAATGTAATCCAGAAGTTTTGAAAAGCAGTACAAATGTGTGTCTAGCCATGTATCCAGGCAGGACATAGAACACAACTCTTCAAAATTGGTATTGTCCTGCTGAAATTGGAACATCAGGGTTCACTAGTTCTGCACCAAAATGGAAACTTATATGCAAAAAATAGCCCTGGTTGAGGAACCTGTGACTCAAGGATGTCAGCTCATTCAAATTACTGGGGTTTTGGACATTGTTTATTGTCTAGTGTTCTAAAAACTAGAAAATACAACATTTTGGAAACTGGATGTGTTTCCATCATCAAGTGAGGGGGCAGACGCCTGCTGTGTTGGGTCCCATAGATGAAGCGATTAAGGTTAGCTCTTTTTAAGATATTGAACAGTAGGTGTCTCCCCCCTCCCCTCATCTGAGGACAGAAATTAGAGCCAGTGTTTGAAAGTTTGTGATTTTTAGTTTTTAGACTACCAGATGATGGACAAGTTTCAAAACCCAGTAATCTGTAGTGATATACACCATTGTCAGGACCCTTGAAAATGTACCAGCTTATTCAAGGCCACCAGTTCCCCGACATTGGTAATATTAAATTCTGTTCAAATTATTAATGCTTTTATTTATATAGTAGCTTGGTTGAAACTTGCTTGTGAATGTATTTTCATTGACAGGTAATTGAATAACATCACTTCAGGAAGTCCTCATGGCAGTATTTCTTTTTGTTCATATTCTGTTTTTTTTGTGCAGTGCCATTGAGGGTTACAAAGTTAAACATCTGCGTCCCAGTGACTCAAAAGAGGCCAGCAAATTTAAAGTGTTTGAGAGCAAGTCACACCTCATCTTTACTGCTGAAACACATAATTTTCCAACTGGTGTTGCTCCATTCAGGTGAATATGCATTGCACAAAAGTGTGAATTCTTTTTCAAGCATGGATTTTATTTTACAAGCAGAATTATGTTTATTTCTCATGTTCAGACTGAACACAACATCACATTCAGAGAAGTAACCATTTAATATATTTAGCATGATGTAAGCTTACTAAATGCCATATGGAGGTAAATCATACATTCAGGAAATTAATTAGGAAAATTTCAAAGTAACTGGCTGTTCCCTCTAGATTCTTCATGCAACCAGTTCCTAATAGCTTCTTTCTCTTGCTTCATATTTGGGGAGTCAAGGATTCAAATCTTGGCCAGAGACGAGTTCTGATGATTTAGGTTCTTCTAATTTTCCTCAGTTCCTCCAGGCAAATGCCAGAATTGTACCTCAAATGAGGCCATGACTGCTTCCTTCCACATCTTTTCCACTTCATTATTTGCCAATCATCCTACCATTTGGCATGTAAGTGTACACTAATGCATTTTGTAGCCTCTTTTATAACTCTGCTGAGGATTTTGCAGAACTTAATTATAATATGCTCTTGTGTTTGATTTATTACTGCTGTTGCTATGTGTGTGTGTGTGTGCGCACGTGTGCATTCACATGCACACTGCTATTATGTTTGCAACATATTTTTATTTCTTGTGTAAGCTAGTCATACCTGAAGTTAAGAGTCTGTGTATGTTTACCTCCCAAGTGTTCCCATAGGTTTTCCTGGCATGTTGCATAAACACAAGTGTAATATATAACTTCACCTTCCACAGTTTTTATGTTGAAACAGTGTTACACATTTTGTATTTTAATTTTCAAATCAAATGGAGCAATGATTTGACTGTGAATATTTACTACACTTTAAAATATAGAATTAAAACTCAGAACTGGTAAACATTTTGTCTTAATATTGATGCAGCACATTTGTAGATTTTCACGTTTGTACAGAATCAAAAGTTTAATGCCATAAAAACTTTCCATTGTTATGAACCAGTTCAGTCTCTCAGTCTGTTTCCCAAAGTTCCATTTTTGATATCAACAGTAGTGTTATAATTGACGTTTATAGCTATGAGATTTTCCAGCCCAATTTTGCATGCATTTCTTTTGCCTTCATGCACGTAGCTTGCCGTCACATTGCAGTGTCTGTGATGTAGTTATTCTGACTGAACACATATTAGTCATTCATTGCTGTGTGTCCTAATATGTGTAAGTATTATCTGTCTCTCTTGTGTTCTTTTTTCTCTGTAACAAATATTTGTTGGTGAGTCTCCTTGTTTTATACTGTTAACCCTTGAAGTGTGACATCCCTCTAATCTTTAGTGGAGCAACGACAGGAACTGGTGGCAGGATCAGGGATGTCCATGCTGTTGGTAGGGGAGGCCATTGTATAGCAGGCACAGCTGGCTACTGTGTAGGAAATCTACTTATGTCAGGTAAATACTATTACTCCCCTTCTCAGTTCAGAACTTGTCGGTCAAGTGAAGAGGCATGGTGTTTCTAAAGCCTGTAGTTCTCTCATAATGGCCATCATAGTGTTGATTTCTTATTGAGTAAAATGTAACATATAAAACATAAACTGAAAGCCTGATAAGATAAAAATATATTTGTGAATAAAGGAAATGGGAGTGATAGAATGGGAGGAACACCCATCTCACGGAGAGAAGATTGATTGATTGCCATTTTATCTACAGAGATTACAGGAGTTGGTGGTCTTGGGTTAAGATCCTGTACTCGCATTCAGAAGGTTCTAAGTTTGATTCTCAGTCAGATTTGTGTACAGGTTTCTGTGCATACAGATGGAAGTCTCCCTCTTTCCCCCAGCCAAAACGTTGGGAATATGAAGGTCTCCTCCTCATGGTTATGAGCCCTCATTAAGCTGTAAGTGTCCTCTACTGACCATCATTCTCATAATTAGCCTGTTATTTGGGATAACAGAATCCACCCATGGGTGCCCATTTCCTAGGTGGGCAGAGGCCAGGGAGGTTGACACTCACCATATCTGGATGCACTAGACCAGGGGTCTCCAAACTTTTTGAAACACGGGCCACATTAGGTAATTCAGCACTTTCAAAGGGCCGGATAAAATGAAAAATTAATAACTCCAGGTATATGAGTTTTATTGAAAGCACAGAATTTCATAAACTAAATACAAAGTACGTGAGAATAAATTATCATATATTAATGACAACAGACATTAGCAGCAAATGCTCATATTTTCATCACAAATTATAATAAAACAATGTGATTGATGGAACTCTTTTTGCATTCTTAAAATCTGATTAAATTGAGGTTCAAATTTTGAAATGCTAATCACAAGTAGCGACTTTAAATGTTCATCGGATAAATTTTCCCTGTATTTCGACTTGATGTACTCCATCTGGGAACAAGTTTGTTCACACAGATATGTTGTCCCAAAAATGGAGATAAATTTACAAGCAAATTTCTTTAAATCTGGAAATTGCTCAGAGTTCAAAAATTTATAAAATTCGATCAAATTTCCTTCCTTGTATTTGTCTTTAATACGATAATTTTCCTGAAGTTCAGTAATTTCCATTTGAATTTGGCTTGGGACATCTGCAGCATCACAGTCAAACGGATTTTGAAACAGTCTAAATATCCTGAGCACTGGAATCCAAATCAGCAAATTGCTTCCGAAATTGTTCTTTCAAATCTGAAATGACTAAATTNACAATCACACTGCACCACTGCAAGAAGTCTTGTGCACAAGACAGCTAGTAATGAACTGCTTGCACTACCTACATTGCCACGAAGTGACACTGCCGATCGAGGCTGAACAAGTACGAAGAAATACCGCGCAGTATACGGTCGAGAATTAATAGAGTTGTGAATAATATTAATATAAACATAATATGGAATATCAATATATTTTAAACACAGTCTTAATTAATGAATTTGAAATCTAGGAACAAGTATTTTTTTTATCAGTACCCACTGGAAAATTAGTTCAATTGGCGCATTTCTGCACAATTGTTTTGCGGGCCGGATAAAATCACATCGCGGGCCATAGTTTGGAGACCCTTGCACTAGACAAACAATATCTCCAGATAAGGTCTAAAAGTTTGTGATGATGGTATATTAATACAGTTACTGACTTCTTGGACATTATGCATCATGTTTTTTTATTTAATAATAATAGTTTGGAGACTGGACTCTGCCCCCAACGTCAGGTAAAAGCGTAGTTGGTTTGGCCCAGTTGACAGAGCTAGTCCTTATCTCTTGATGGAGGGATATGGGTTAGCTCTGTTGATTAGGCTGAACTGAGTAGGCTGTTACGTGAGGACGAAGACAGGAGTCCAGTCTCTGAATCATTGTTTTAATTAAAAAACACAATTATGGATAGTGTCAAAAAAAGACAATAACTGTATTGACATCTGCGGAGATTATATAGTACTAAATGTGATGGACGATTATCGTATATGATGAATAGTTGAGGATTAGGGAAGGGGTGGTTAGGGTTCATTTGAATGTGCCATCTGTCTGTTCATCTGACAAAAACTAAGAAAAGTGCAAAATCCCCATTGGAGATAACCAGTAATGCAGCCAAGGTTTGAACTATGTCCCAACTGTGAGTCTTGGGGTCATACCACTACATGAACCTGCTTGGTGTGGCTTACTGTTTAAAAGTCCCTAACTTGGTTTTCAGAGCTTCTCCTCCATCTCTTCAGGTATGTTCTCAGATGGTTTGCTTTTACCGTCATGTTGCTTTACCTTACCTCATTGCTGCAGCGGGGTTTTGAGGGGTTCCATAGCAGTGTTATAGCAAAAGAAGCTACATTATAGGAACTTAGACAAATAATGCCTCTAAGCTGGGGTAAATTTAGAGGAGGATCTACATGCTTACTTCCTCCATAAATCAACAAGGAGAATGTGAAAGAATTTGATTTCACAACATTTAGGTAGAAGGAAATATCTCTTTCACGAGCATTGGTAATTTGTAAATATATGTAATAAAATATACTGTTTATATGCTCTCTTGTTATCGCCTGCCAAAGCTGTCTGTAGCTGTACATCGCACAGTTGAGGTTAATGAGTGAATTGCCATTTGCCACTAGAATTCTGAGTGGTGTCAAGCACATTGGTGTAGCAGTACCATTCTAGACTTCTACTTGGGCAGTAACCAGATTTAAATTGCGACCCTTGTAGTGTGGTAGGCATTTACCAACATTTTTAAGGAACCTCCATCTTCAGGGTAGGCACTTTAGTGCTTAATGATGGAAGCAGTATATTCTTTGGAAACACTGGTTAACGCCAGTTTGTTGAGTTCAGTGATCCCAAAACGTTTCTGTTGCTATTTAATTCTTCACTGCTGTGAAATCCTATCTCTCCGTCCTTGTAAGGGGCACTATGACCATGAAGACTGGCACAGTGGGTGCTTCTGAAACATTGGTAATCACCAGACTTCACAGTGACATAACCCAAAAAGACCACTACCTAAATCATCATTATGAGAACCTCAGATCTGCAGAAGCTGAATGCTCGCTGGTCTACAGGCTGTTCTGAGTCAGGTTTTCTGTGGTTTCTCTATAATTCCAGGAAAATTCTTGTATAATATCTTCAAGTAGGCCATACCTATCTTTCAAATTCATTATCTGTTAACCATTCATTGTTATCTTCGCATCTTGAATGATTTAATGCAATTATCACAGCATTATTATATAACCTAAGAATCCAAAATATAGATCAGTGCGTTATGCTAGACTATCCAATTTCTCTCCTTCAGGATGAATGTCCTAACCGTAAGTATGGTGGCAGCTTATCAACCAGTAGCAGTTTAACACTTGTAATCTGAAGTTGAAGATCAAGTGAGCTATTATAAAGAATGTTGATTTTCTGTTCTGTAGATTATGAACTACCATGGGAAGATCCATCTCTAGATTATCCAGGTAACTTCGCTTCTCCTCTGGAAGTTCTAATAGAAGCAAGTAATGGTGCATCAGATTATGGAAATAAATTTGGAGAACCTGTTATATCTGGATTTGCTCGATCATTCGGTCTGCTGGAACCGTCTGGAGATCGTCGGGAATGGATTAAACCTATCATGTTCAGTGGTGGTATTGGGTCTCTGGATGAAAATATGGTGAAGAAGCTGAGACCAGAGAAAGGTATGCAACTGTGAACACAGTAGAAGTTACACGTGCAACAAACACAATGTCATCCTGCTCACACTGCCCTCCCACTTGCTTTGAATTTACTGTAGCTTCTAGACTTTGGTGACAGCATTTTTTGTTGATGTCATCTTTCATATTGTCAGCTGTTCAGGGTTCTCTGACAAATAATTAGTGGATTACGGATTTAGATGAGGCTGTTTTATTGGATGACTCGTTTACAATTACACTTATAATCATTACAATCACTCTGTCATAACTTCTTCCAGACGATGCGACCTGACTAGTCCATCGTCTCTGATATGACCTCACTTCTCTCACCTGTGGTCTCTCTTCCCTGATCTGATCTTTGCCTTTGTCTCATCTTATCTCTCTAAGGTAGGTTCTTGGCATACAAAATAGCAGACACCTTGTTCAATAGTCCAATTTCCTTGCTCTCATGCAAACGACTCTTGTTGCTACAAGAATACATGTTTACCAAGCTATTGACTTGCAATGGATGCTGTTGTTGTCATGCAACTGCCTCAGACAATTCATTACCCAGGAATTGCTAGCTGTTGGCTAGCAATGGACACTGGTTGTCATATACTGTCTTGACAATGTGTTACCTAGTGACACTTCCCTATAGAGTGGGTTCACCTGTCACATTATGTAAGCATGGTAATATCTTGGATTGTAGCCTTTGTTTGAAGGTGGAGGCAGCAAATTCCTCACAGCACTGGTAACATGCCATAATACATGGTGTCACTATCCGAAAGACCAAGATCCATATCTCCACTATGAGAACCCTTTTTTTTTTTCTTAAATAAAAATTGAGGTACATGAATTTTGTGATGAATTAAGTTACTTAAATGAATGAGGAGTAAAAACAGCTATGTACAGTGTTCCTGCTTTAGTTTTTTTTTCTTCTTTGCATGTTGCTAGGTATGCAAGTGGTGAAATTGGGAGGTCCAGTGTACCGCATTGGAGTTGGTGGAGGTTCAGCAAGCTCAATAGAGGTGAGAAAATGTACTACTATTTCAGCTGTTTTGATGATTTACATGCAAGGCCTTAGCAGAATTGCTTGGCTTCTCAAACTGTGGGTTATGACTTATTTTAAGAGGGGGTTACTGAGTTCTCAGGAATTATTTAAAATATAGTTGCAGCCATGCACAGTTTTGGTAAGCCAGTAAGAATTAATATGGGACCCTTTGAAAAATATAGCTGCAACCAGCAAAATCATTTCTTGAATCTTTTCATGTTTGTACAGGAGCATTTTTACAGCTTACTGAATGTGCAGAAAGGTCACAAGGCTGCATAGGTTCCTGCTATCACCATACAGCCTGCAGCAGTATGCAGAATTTTACTTTTTGCTGCCTGACTTGGATGGAGTGGGAGTCATAAATTTATGCGTTATTTTAAAGGGTTGCCGTGTTACAAAGTTAGAGAACCTCTGATGTGTGATATGTTCTGTTAATGACTGGATAGAAGACTGGGTGGGCCCTAGGGCTGGATGCTGTAGAAAAGGAAAAATCTGTTACCACTGCAAGCAATCAAACCTCAGTTTTTCATTTATGCAATTGGTAGTTTCATTACTACACAGACTGAGTTCTCAGCTCTCTTGTGTATAACCATTGCTGTTGATAAATCAACATTAAATAAACCATCAGCTTAATGTACTTCTGGTTTTAAAAATTATCAGACTCTACCTGTACAGAGAAGAGAGTTCAGAATGTGATTAAGTTTGATGTACAGGTGCAGGGTGATAACAAGTCAGAACTGGATTTTGGTGCAGTGCAAAGAGGTGATGCTGAGATGGAGCAGAAACTGAACCGTGTTATTAGAGCTTGTTTAGAAAGAGGAAGTGGCAACCCGATCTGTAGTATTCATGACCAGGGAGCTGGTGGCAATGGTGAGTGAAGATATGGTCATGCATGTAAAGAGAATGACATTATATTAATTTGTAGCTCCTTGAATGCAGACACACATAAAGACAGCAAGTGGACTGAAGTGGTTATGCTTCTAGCTTGTATTTGAGAGGGGCCTGATTGGAATCTTGGCCAGGATACAGGCTATGTGCAATGAGGTTTCTTGCAGATTTCCTCAGTCCCTCCAAGCAAATGTCAAGATAGTACCTCAAGTTAACCCTTTGAGGACTAGGATTTAAGTTCCTGAACACTATACACAGTGTAAGTCTTCAGGCCTTTTAATGCCGTGATGCATTGCTTTGATAAAAAACTAATATCTCAACTTCTAGATTTTCTTTGACATAGATGCATGAGCCTCCATGTCGTTTATTCATTGTTGCCTGTGATTGGTTTTGGTTTGTAATGTTTGTTTTCAGGAAATGTATTGAAGGAGTTAGTGGAGCCTTCTGGAGCAGTGATTTTCACTCGCAAGTTCCAACTGGGAGACCCCACAATTGGAACTCTTGAACTTTGGGGTGCAGAGTATCAAGAGAGTGATGCTATGCTATGCTGCGATGATGATGTTGCATTGTTAAAGCAAATTGGAGATCGAGAGAGGTGTCCCATCAACTTTGTTGGCACAGTCCTTGACAATGGGAAGGTATGACAAGAAGATTTGGGGTTATGATTCTGTAATTCTATAATTGTCTTAGGCATATTTCAAATACCATGTTTGGCAGGGCTGAAGAAATTGTTGATGTTGATCAGAATAAATTATTTCTTATTACATCTTTTTTTATTTGTTTTACTATTAAAATGTTTAAATACGAAAAGGAACAAGCAGAATGTCCTGCTCTTTGTCCAGGATATATCTTTCCTTACTGATGTTACAGTTCAGTTTCTTGTCATCTCTTTCCTCTTTCAATGTATTCTAGTACTTGCCCAAAGCATTTTGTCCTGGGTCACCCCATAGGTCTCTTTCATTTCAATTTTAATTCTGAACCATTCTTAGTATTCTTGTATCCATTCTTTTTATATGGTCAAATCTCTGTAATCATACACTCATACAGTTTAACAAGGTTCTTCATTATACCTTCTATATGACTGACTACACCCTTCCTCATCATCATCATCATCAGCAGCAGCAGAACAGCCCTTTTTTAGCCATAGCCTTTGCTAGAAGATTCTGCCAGACTTCTCCATTCCTGGTATGAATTAGGCTATCCAATTTTCACTTCTGTGGATTCTGCAATAGTAATTTTTATTTTTACAGAGAAAGGTCATCAGTCTTGCATCCATCCCTTAACATGGAGGACCAGGTTTCTGTATTTATGTCCCCCGGTGACAGGGTGGCTCAATTATACCCCTCAGGCACTGGGTTCTCTTTTCATTGTCTTCTACGTCTTGCAGGACTATGGTGGAGATATTCTAAACTACTTCCACGTAGGAAACATCCTTCCTTTTGTGTTGTGAAATGTTACATAACTGTACATTTCATGTTTACTAAAGCAAAGCAGCTGCTTTGAATTCTGTCACTTGGTTTGCACCCACAGTTACCTTTGGCATGGAGTCCTAAGTTGTGTTTTATTGGCAGGTGGTTCTTTCTGAAGAAGAAGAAATGGATGTCACACAGTATTTGAATGGTTCCTATGAACAAAAAAATATAAGACATCCTGTTGACCTGGAGCTGGAACTGGTTCTTGGAAAAATGCCACAGAAGGTGAGAAAACATTTTGAAATGTGAATACTGTACTTCAACCTCAAAGTCATTTAGCAGTTTTGATCAAAAGTATTAAATAAGAAGTTCTGGGAAGAACTAATCACCTACTTTCCTTTGATACAACACCAGCTGCATAGAAAACAGCACTTCAACATGTCATCGTTGCTGCAGTAGTGTCTTTACCAAGTTGTTACCTAGCAACAATAGGGGAATACATGGGCCCGCAGACACATGTCCAACAATTCTTCTAATTCTATTATTGTTGCATTTATTCATTGCTGTGGAAACATCTTTACTGAATGTGACCTAGCAATGAAGGAAGGCATACACATTACTGAGCCTTTGCCTAGAAATGATAGGAGGGATACACTTACAGACACATAGACTGATGGGAGGATTTATGATGTATGACATTGGGAGGGGCTCAGGTGCCATGATACACATACCAAGTTTCATAAATATTGGCTCTTGCATTCAAAAGTTGATATGGGGTGATATGCAGGCACACAGCATGGTGACCTCATAAGCCTACTACCATTTTTTCAAAATAAGAAAGTAGACTAAATTTGACAAACACCTAGAAATATGGAAAAGTAAGTTTTTTAGATGTGTTTATTTTTACATTGATAACATTTCTGATAGAGGATTTTAAGTCTGAAGTCACTTTCGTTCCCTCCAGAGTAAAATTTGACGTAGACAAAAATGGTATTGCTCTTCACACTATGAAAGCAAAATTATTTTTCACATACTAAGTCTGCATACATTTCTGACTCAACTGGACTATGAAATTAGCATCTTACTTTGTTATTTTTCCATCGACATCTCCCTTTGGAGGGGGTCAGATATGTAAATGTGGAACAATTGAGAAACCTTAAACAGGAATATTTAACACAGATTATTTAAATCCATGATTTATTTCAACCGTCTTCCAGTGCATACACTCATCTATCTCCTTCTCTCTCTCGCACTACATGTTTCGGCACAAAAGTGCCATCTTCAGGTGGTTATTCGATTTACGCTAAACTAGTTCATTGCATGCCTTGTCGTCTTCATATTAAAATAACTAAAATATATATTTATCATATATATTGATAAATGTTAAATGTTAAAAATATTAAAGTTGTTCAAGATTTTTCATCTCTACGTCGTATTTCACTATGCAAGTCACACCTATCCTCTTCTGTCGGAGCACTCTTTCACTATCATGTATTGTGCTTTGTGTTGTGTCTTGCTCCTGTGACTGCGTGTGTTACGCTGCTGGGCCTGCTGGGTATGTGTGTGTGTGCTGTCTTTGTTTTGAGTGAGTTATGATGTAGTGCGAGAGAGAGAAGGAGATAGATGACTGTATGCACTGGAAGACGGTTGAAATAAATCATGGACTTAAATCAGTGCAACAGGACGCTAAAATATAACATTAACAGAATATTTTGTTGGAATTATTTATATTTGACCTTAAATTGAAAAAACTGTAAATAATGGTTTCACCTTGTGTGTGTGTGTGTGTGTGTGTGTGTGTGTGCGTGCGCGCGTGTGTATGTGCGTGCATTTTTATGTGTATATGCATGTTTCTAGGTGGCATACTGTTGCATAGTTCGTTGAGGCACTATGCTACAGAAGGTCACAGGCTCAAGTTCCGATGGGGTGGATTTTTTCAATTTACCTAATCATTCCAGCCACACTATGGCCCCGGGTTTGACTCAGCCTCTAACAGAAATGAATACCAGTAATCTTTCAGGGGGTAAGAACGGTCTGTGTGTAAGGCTGACATCACTGCCATCTTTGAGTCAGTTGTATAGAAAATGTAGGAACCTCAATGTCTCACAACCCTGTGGGCTTCCACAGCCTGTTGCAGGAATAGATTTACCTTTTTATGCATGTCTTTATGGCTTTTATAATTTTAACAATAGTTTTTCCAGAGAATGGAGGTTGAAATACCAAATGGATATATGTGAAACTGAAGAGTGGCACTCTTATGTGGTATAATTATTTTACTCTTAGATAGCTCTGAGTGTCAGAAATGTTTGTATGCAGCATATTTAATGACATTATATCAACTATGGAAGTAACTGTTGAGTGAGATACGAGGCTGATTGTGTGTAATGTCATTTGTTACTCAGTATTAAATTTGCTGAATTCAAGTATAAGAGTAAATAAGTTGGATAGCAAACAATGGAAAGAAAACGTACATAAAAATAAATATTTCATAATCCTGCATACCTCAGTATATTTATATCTTGGATCGTATGAGTTGGCATTCTTAGGATGTTAAAAATTGAGTTCAATTTTACCTTTCATTCATGTTGAATCTAAGACAAGCTGAGATAATTGAATAAATAAATAAATAAATATAAGATCATCAAGGAAAACTGATGATGAATGCTGGACAAGAATCAACTGTTTGACAAGGGAAGAAATATGTTTTTATAATAGGTAGTATCTGTAAGACTGAGATGTAAGGCATAATAATACAGTAAGGTAAAGTTGTCCCTGTGCTTAACTAATTAAGTACAATCCTGTGAAGGTGTATAGTTAGTTAGTTATTGGATAGGGTGGGTTTCCCCATGCACTTAGACCTGTATTGGTCCATTGTGCTTCCCTCTATGATTTCTACCAGTCTCTATATCCTACCGGTACTGGTGCTTACCATCAGTCCCGCCCAGCCAGCGAGACCGGCTCTACTAGCTGAGAGGTATCTATAATGCTTCCCCCATCTACCAGAGGTATTAGAGACTGCTGTTGTGTGGGAAACGTCCGTTAATTTGGCTCAGTGACCTCCTTTGGAGATATGAGGTTTTTTACGTGCCGTAAAACTATGACACGGGACCCACGGCTTAAAGTCCATCCTGGAGGACTTGTTCCCTGAATTTTTCCACCCTTAAAAATTTGACGACCTCCGCCGGGTATTTGAACCCGCATACTACGAGTCATGAGGTGGGAACGTTACCTCTAGACTACGGAGACCGCTGTGAAGGTGTATAAAGGGAGTGGATCTAAAAATCCACATTCTCTTGACCTTGGCACTAGTTGGAGGCAAATGGTTGGCTTCATGCTGCGACTGCTTTACCCTCCCTGTGAAAGAGCCCCTGGTACCCATTGGCTAGGAGGCTGGGTGGGCCCCAGAGCTGATCTGGACGACGTGAAAAAGAGAAAATTCTTGATTGTACTGGGACTCAAACTCCAACCTCTTTGTCATCCAGCCCATAGACAATTACTATATCAACCGTGCTATCCCAGCTTCAGTGTGTAATAATGGAATATTTGTTTAATATTCATGTTTTGCCTCATATAATGTTCAGTTTCAATGGTCTCATCATTCACTTACCACCATTTGAGATTTTATTCAGTTTTTGTGTTCAGTCCACTGTTCCCCAAAGAACCCCCCAGTTGGTGGTGGAAGTGTGCCCCTGTGTTCATAAGTTGGGTAGTAAGCTGTGCCTTTGGCCAAGTCATGGTTCAGTAGTGACAGTGTACTCGTAGAATTTTGATGTTAAATCCACATACAGATATTCTGTTCTAGGTGTTCCACCTGGACCGCAAGCCAGCAATAGTAAAGTCACTGAGTTTGCCAGCTGATCTGACTGTGAAGCTGGCTCTGGGACATGTGCTGCGACTCCCGTCTGTTGCCAGTAAGCGCTACCTGACCAATAAGGTGGATCGCTGTGTTACTGGCCTCATTGCCCAGCAACAGTGTGTTGGACCACTTCATACTCCGCTGGCTGACGTGGCTGTTACTGCTCTGACACACTTTAGTTCTGTGAGTTGATTCTTCAGCCCATGAGGGAAAACTTAGATAGTATATTGTAAAGGGTTCTGATGATGGTGAATAATCTCAGGATGACTGGATTTTTGGACATTGTACAGAAGTGCTCTTAAGAATGCTGGATGTTTGATGAAGTGCAAAAAAAAAAAACAATATTCGCGAATAGTTTGGAAACAAATTATTGAGAAGAACTTGCAACTTGAGACAGCGAGGGAATAAGAGAATGGAGGAAATGACATAATGAAGAACATTATAATGTTCTGCCATTCATCTATATATTTCCACTTCTGTATATGTCACCTAACAACCAAGCCTTGCCATCTGTCTCTTCCCAAAGCACCTCCTTGTGAATTTACCTCTCATGTTTTTCCTTTCTTCTGTGTGACATCTTTTGTAACCTGTTGTAATGCTGATCCTAGATTGATTGTTGAAAGCAGTTTCAAAATCCACTCTCATCTTGCTAGGACTGTTTCACTGCAGCTGCATTAGCCATTCATTATCAGGGTTTCTATCAGATATTGGTAGCTACTTCAGAAGTCCCAGGGATTTGGTGTCATGGTGCTTCACATAGACTAGCTCTCTTCCTTCTGAACATTCGCCCCCTCCTACAGTTTTGGTGATTAGATCAAGAAGGATGAGTGAGGTGTTATATATGATGTGTATTAGAAAATGGAAATGGAATTTTGAGTGGAAAACTTGCATCGAAAACCTGGGTGTATGTAGGAGGATAATGTTAAAATTGATAAGTCAGGAGTTTGTCAGCTGGATTCATCTGGCTCAGGATAGATTCCATTGGTGGGCTCATGTGATCACAATATTGGCGTTCAAATGCCATTCAAAACAGAATTTCTTGACTAGCTGAGAAACTGTTAGCTTCTAGAGAAGTTCTCTGCTGCATAGAGTTAAATTATAAATAGGCTATGAGTTACACCTAAACTGATGAACTCTTTAGTATTAGAATCAAAAGATTCAACACTGCTAATGACAGTGTCCACCATTGATCAGGACCTTGAGGCAGTTCATGTCCCATTCTCAAAACTTTTTTTCCTTACATTCCACCTGAAATATTACCCTTGCATTTCCATCTCTGCAACCTGGGTGGTCATTTTCTAAGCAGTTTTTCATCAGAATTGAATCAGAATTTTGTGTATCCAGCAGTACTAGGTATAGTTTCTTATTCTGAATAGGTACTATCTTACATTACTTACATAAGCCAATCTTCTCTCAAAATATTTTTGTGAGAACTTTTTTTAGTGCTAATTTTTGTTCTTCCGGTCTAGAAAACCGAGATTAATGGCTGTGGGAATCCATTGCGCTGCCCATGTGACACTCTATCAAAAGTTGGCACTTACTTCACCGACATCAGTGGTCGCTTGGTCGGTATAGTTCGCTTGCAGACTAAAGGCACAGAGTTTTCATTTTTGTTCTTCCCTCAAAGGAAGAAACTAGGTTTCAGTAATGCAAATGACAAAATCATTATAAATATATATCTTCATTACTTCTGAAAGTAGATGGGATGGTAATATTTTTGAACCAAATAAAAACATATATTCTGAATTGATTGCAGTTTCATCTTGAGCTTTGTTGGCCAGAAACTTGTGTTCTTAATTCTCTTCTCTCTATTTTGCTGATATCTTTGTTCTTCTGTCATGATGTAGATATTTTCTTTCTGTTTTATTCAGGAAGGAATTGCTATGGCTGTAGGAGAACAGCCAATCAAAGGTTTGGTTGATGCACCAGTAGGTGCAAGGATGGCTGTTGCAGAATCTATCACTAATCTGGTCTTTGCCAGGATATCTGACATACAGGTGATTAATTTTTATTTATTTATGGTCTATTTAACATTACTTTTATTAGCTCAGATTATATAGCATCAGATATTAGAATGAATAGTGAATAATGCAAACAAAAAATGCATATTTCCTGTGCTTAAGTAAGTAAGCCCCATGCCATGAAGACATGTGGTGTTGGGTAGATGTATAGATCCATATATTCTTGACCTCGGCACTAGTTGGAGGTGAGTGGTCAGCTATGTGTTCCAGCTGCTATACCCTTTGGAAGAGATCCCTCAGTATCCCTTGGATAAGAGGCTGGATGGGCCCTGAAACTGGTCTGCATGGTGTGGAGAGGAGAAAAATCTTGCCTCCACCAGGGCTCAAACTCAAACCCCTCAGCTGTCTAGCCTGTAGCCAGTGGCTATACTTACTGTGCTATCCCGGCTCTCTGATTAGTGAGTAATCAGATGGAAAAGAGACAGAAGGATGATCATTTCTTAATTGAAGGTACCACCCTAGCACTTGTTTGAAGAGACTGAGAAAAATCATGAAAATCCTGTCAGGATAGTCATTGTCCTGGCTGAGATTTGAACTGGGCACCTTCTGAATACAAATCAGAAGCATTACTGCTTGAACCAGCTTGGCCAGTAAAGTGTCATTAAGTTAATCAAGAACAAATGGATAAATCTCCTATGCGGTTAAAGCAGTGTATAATAACCTAAGAATCAGTTATCATTCAGACATAACAGTTCACACTGATAATTTCCAGACTTCTAACTCTTTCTTATCCTGTCAGAAGGTTTCTGACATTGTAATTTTCCTTTATGTGTTCACTAATGAAAACTTATCACCACTATCTTTATGAATTTACTTCTGCATTATGATTATATGCTGAGTGTTATATCTTTGCCTTCCTTGTCTTTGACATCTATTGTAGTCTCAGAAGTGAGTTTGAAAATAAAGAGGATGAGAAAGAATTAGTCAGTGTAAATTTCGGATACATTACAGGGCTGGAGTGTAGCACACAAGCATTGTTCAGGCTCTGCCCAGTTGTGACCTCTTGTCCCTATTTCAGTTAAAGCATTTAATGATCCTTAAGGAAATGTAACTCTTTTTCGAGAGTACATCACATGATAAGGTGACACATCATTACAGCATCATTACACAGTAACTGGACTCAGTTTTCAAAAATCAGTGGCAACCATTAGCACTTTACTGGAGTTCATATTAAACACAAAGGACTTTTCTTCCATGAGGTTGCTTACTGAAAGTATGATGTACTCAGAGATGTTTTGGACAAAGTACACGGTGTGACAATTAAGTTCCCGAACTGAGGCCATAAAAACCACACAAAAAAGATAAAAAATATTTATTAATACCATCACTCAACATAGTCCCCGCCTGCTTCTGCACAGTGTTGACATCACTCATACAACGAATTGAATTCCCAAGAAAACGCTTCTTCCTGTATCGCCTTCACTTGTCTCGCCACAGTCTGTTGGATCGATGAAACAGCCTTGAATCTCGCCATTTATTTGCATTTTTTAATTTAGGAAATAAAAATAAATTAGCCAGAAATAAATCAGGGGAGTAGGGTAGATGGGATAACACAGGGATCCCTTGTTTTGTCAAAAACATGGAGACAGTGCCTGAAGAATGCACCGGTGCATTGTCGTGCAGAAGACACCAGGACCCACTTTCCTGGAACTTAGGCCTAATGTGAAGAACTCTTAATCATTTCTTCTAACATCTGAACACTCGGAGTTTGTTCTTTGGCCAAAAACTTTTGAATGACTTCCATTGATTCTTGATCTTGTTCTTGATAAACATTCTTCACCTTACGCACTTTTCAACATTTCAACTGTTTCAGTAGTTGTTTTCTTTAATTTTACACAAAACTTAATCGCTTCTCTATGTTCCATTTTTAAACCTTTGACATGAAAAAACTAATGTCACAAAAACAATTGTAATCCTCATATACATCAATCAAACAAGTTGAAACTTGCCAACCATATAAATAAGCGTTCTCTCTAACTAGTCCTGTTCATCCCTGATAGATGGCATTAGTGGTATTACTGTAAAATTGTCAGTTCGGGAACTTAATTGTCACACTGTGTATATAAGCCAGATTGCTTGTTACAGGATGTAAAATGCAGTGGGAACTGGATGTGGGCAGCTAAGCTACCAGGAGAAGGGGCAGCTTTATATGATGCTTGCACTGCCATGTGCAAAGCGATGTCAGAATTGGGTATAGCAGTTGATGGTGGAAAGGACTCCTTGAGTATGGCTGCCAGGGTTAATGGTGACATCGTCAAGGCACCTGGTATGCATGCCCTGTAGGCTACTAGGATCATGGAGGAATTATATCTAGGTCATACACATTGAAATTTAAACAGCAGAATCATGAGTTCATATCCCTACACTAAATTTATATAGGAGCTGCTATTGGAAAGTTCCTGGATTAGGTCAAAAAAGAAATGCTGGCTTAACTTACTCAATTTTGGCTGCCATATCCTTCAGCAATCCCATCATTTTTTCCATGCTTCAAGAGAACTGTGGAAGTCATTTTCCTTAATGCTGTCAAATACTGTTCACAATTCCCTTTGGATGTCAGACACTGTTTCAAAATGTCATCCCATCAGTTTCATTTTCAATTTGGGAAACAAAGCGAAATCATGGGGGGCTAAGTCCAGCGAGTAGAGAGGATGGGGAATGATAACCATGTTTTCTGGTCACAAACTCTGTGATTTTCAGGGATATGTGGGTGGGCATATTGTCTTGATGAAGGAGCAATGTGGCGAATGTTCAAATTTTCTGTTAAGGTCTTCTGCCAAACTCCATAACTGATCCCAACAGTGTCTATGAGCTAATTGATTGTTTGGCAATGGTCTCTGTTGATGAGTTCTCAAATTTTTCAACATTATCTATAGTTTCACTGGTGTATGGTTGCCCTGAATGTTTTTCATCTTCAACTGACTCTTGACCAGCCTTGAAACATGAATGCCATTCAGAAACTGCTGTCTGACTTAAAAAGAATGTTCTCCAGAAGCCTCATAAAGTATTTCAAGGGTTTCGATAGTAAATTTACCAACCTTCATGCAAAACTTAATGCAAACACATTGCTCAGTTTTGCCATCCATTGCAGACACAACGAAACATGAAGATAAAAAAGCACTAATGTGAAAACAATGCATGTTCACAGCGCAGTGTCACATGGCAGACTGATGCAATAAGCTTTCAGAAGTGTGACCTTGGCCTCCCCTCTCATCTTTCACTGAGGCAGTTACAACAGTAATAGTTCTAGAACTTTCTGATACCACCTCTTACAGAACAGCAAAATGAAATGTACATTGTTGCATTGAACTTTACCAACTGCAGTTTCTGATAGTCTGCGCTGAGAATAATGATGGCAGGTGTGATTTTATGTTGCTAGTTATGTCCAAAGGACATGTTCACAGCACAAATATGCAGAATGATGGAAACATGTAGACTGTGTCTAAAACATCTTTGAGTGTGTATCATCAGATAATTATGTTATCATTAAAAAGATACTTGTTTCTCTTTTGAACATACATTGGGAACCATAATCCTTATCTTGAAATCTTGTTGAACATAGATGACTTTCCTTCTGTAATGTTGTCTGCTCAAGGTATGACATACACACAGATGTTTTAGACAAAGTTTTTGAATATTGATATGATAGTTCTTTTGGGTGGAAGATGCACCTGTTATGTGCAATGAAGAAACAGCTAATTCATTTGCTGCTGCTTCATAAAAGAATATTCAAAAAATGGTAAAGGTAAAGTTGGGCCCTATGCTTAATTAATTAAGCACCACACCATGAAGGCATATAGGGGAATGGAGGTATAGCTCCACCATTCTTGACCTCAGCTGTAGGTGGAGGTTAGTGGTCACCTTCATGCCCCTTCTATTTTACATCTGGGGAAGGAGTCCCTGGTATCCATTGGACAGGAGGCTGGGTGAGCCACATTGCTGACATGGACGCTGTGCACTAGAGAAACATCTCTTACCCCTGCCAAGAATGGAACCCTGGCTGACCAGTCTATAGCCCATTGCTATACCAGCTGAGCTGTCCCAGCTCTTTTGAATGAATGAATGTATGAGGAGTGGGCCATAATAATCCGGCCCCTTGCCAGTCAGGGGCATATTTCACTTCACTGCCGCAACTAGACCTGCTCTAGGGTCCATCCAGGCTTCTAGCAAATTGGTACCTTAGTTTTTTCCCTGGAGGTAAAGCAGCTAGGACATGAAGCTGACCACTCACCTCGATCTAACACTGAGGTTAAGATGAGTGGAGCTCTACCTACAACTCCCCCATACATAATGGCTTTGTAATTATTTAATTGTAGCATCTCTCCAGTTTTGATCCCTGTAGATTTTAGATTGATTTGTAGCCATTTCTGAATGATTAAGGCAAAGGTAAAATTGTCCCTTTGCTTAATTAATTAAAAGCTATGGCATGAAGCTGTATGGTGGAGTGGAAGTATAGCTCCAGCATTCTTCACCTCAGCAGTAGATGGAGGTGAATGGTCACCTTCATGCCCCTTTCGCTTTATGCCTGGGGTGAAGAGCCCCACGATGCCCATTGGACAGGAGGCTGAATGGGCTGCTTCACTTATCAGGACAATGTGGAGTAGAGAAACATCTCTTACCCCCACCAGGAATGGAACCCTCACTGATCAGTCCATAGCCCGTCACTATACAAACTGTGCTATCCTGGCTGCATACCTGCATTAGTAATTTGAATTCCATATTTTTTGTCATATAAGAATAATAGTCTGTTAGTAATTATCTGAGTAAAAGATATCATGGTTCAGATGTAAAATTCAGAAAAATTGTCATCATCAATCTTTCCGGTGTTAGGCCTGTTAAGAACTGTTATGGATATTACAAACTAGAATCCTTTAAGAAAAGAAATATGATTTAAGATGTCTTGTAACCTAAGAAATTAAGACTTCTACTGTATGATCGTCTCTGTGAACAGTTTATACATATAACGGAAAATGTTCTGGGTTACAGTTCATAACTTTTCTCATTTTACAGTTTTCTTTAAAACCCTGCCTATCCATTACAGTTCCAGTTCTAAAGTATTATGTGATTATGTACAGCAGCAGAAGTGGTCTTAGCCCCAAAACTTACCTCCAAATGGTGGTCCACATTTTAGCTATATATTGTTGCTTATTCTGTTTTTTTTACAACTGTCCTCAATTTCCAGAGGACCTTTTATCTGTCTACTATAATGTGATGAGAAAAAACATAACAGTATTGATAAATTACCTGTGAATGAAGCAAGAAGATATGGTTGTACCTTGAACACATTATCGAAAGACATTATTTCTGAGGAGTGGTTGATTGCTCTGTCCAGACAGCCAAACCATGTCTCAAAGTTGCTGCATAATTTGCTATTAGGTTGTGCTAGTAGTATCTTATCAACATACAGCAGTCCTATCTCTTTTGTGTTTTTGTTGGCAAAAGAATCCATGTTATTTATTGATATACGCCAAAGAAGATATGAAATTAAGATATTTTCTGTAACTTTACTGTAAGGGCAGGGACTGTCTTACATTAAAAGCAGGTACAAGGGGAGGCAAGAAGTGGTTAAGGAACCAGTGGCTGTAATGTATTATATAAATTGCACATAAAGTAAAGAGAAGTCTTGGTTGTTGTTGCAGGTGCTTTGGTGATTTCCACATATGCCCCATGCCCCAACATTAAGCAGGTGGTGACACCTGACCTGAAAGGCCCCTCGAGAGGGCTGACAGGAATTCTTCTTCTCGTAGATCTGTCTGGAGGAAAAAATCGGCTGGGGGGCACAGCCCTTGCTCAGTGTTTCAGACAGCTTGGAGATGATGTGCCTGATCTTGACCAGCCATGCCTGCTCAAACAAGCCTTCATTGCTACTCAAAAACTGATAAGAGGCATGTACACAAGAAAATAATGATAAGTCTGTAGTGAAGGGTAGAATTTATTTGTACTGCCTTTGATGCTGTAATTGTTAGATCACTTAACATGGCTAGGCCTCTCAAAATTTTACCTATGCATTGTTTCTGTCCAAATGCCTTACTTCAGCACACACTCATTTGTAACTTACATTCCGTCATGTCTATTTAAGTTGCCCTTACTTCAGGTACTATTTTGGTTGTATGTTAACATAAGCTGTCACCATAACATACCTTTGTATGTTACAAAATTTCTGTACTTATTTTTTCTGTTTTGTCATCTTGTACTGTCTCAGAACAAGTTTGTTTCCCATGTAACTAAAGTACTTAACCTTCATCACTGTATGGATGTTGCATCTAAAATTTCATTAATTCATTATTTCCATTAATTTTAACAACTTCATACGTCATGTTTGAGAGAATAGTGATTAGTTTTATATTTGGGAGTTCCCAGGTTCAAGTCTCAGCTCAATAGGTTTCCATGGTTTTCCCTCACTTTCTAAGAAAATGCTAGGATATTACCTCAAATTAGGCCACAGCCACTTCCTTCCACATCCTTTCTAATTCATTATCCATTAATCATCCTACCTGTTCATGCTGTGTAAACTTATCTGCTGATAGAATCATTAAATAGACCATAAATAAATAAAATAAGTAACTACAATCTTTTATGTACAGATATTCAAGCTAGAGTTTCTTATTGCCATATGACGTGTGTTTGCAGCAAGCAAAGTGATGGCTGGCCATGATATCAGTGACGGAGGTCTCATTACTTGTCTGCTGGAGATGGCATTTGCAGGAATAAGTGGTATCAAGATCAGCATTGATCATAAGGAAGGCAAGGCTTTGGATATTCTGTTTGCTGAAGAATTGGGGTGGATATTGGAAGTGGATTCAAAAGACATCGACTTTACAAATACAACTTTTAAAGCATATGATGTTCCTGTATATGTTATTGGAGAATCGACTACCTTCGGAATACAGTCGCTAGTGACCGTCTCTGTGAATGGCACCCTAGCATTGAACAGTGACTTGCTTTCACTGTACCATATGTGGGAAGAGACTAGTTATCGACTTGAGCTCCGGCAAGCTAATCCTGACTGTGTCAGGAGGGAGTTTGAATCTCTTGGTAATCGCAAAGCTCCTGCATATAGACTAACTTTTGATCCACAGAAGTCACACGGACCTGCTAAGCCATTATCATCTTGTAAGTATCTTGTTAGAATGCTTGTTACTTCATTCAAATTCTTTCAGCCTGTATCCTTTCTGAAATGTTAAAGAATAAGGTATATAAAAGAACAGTTTTGCTATTTGTTTTTACAGTTGTGAAATGTGATTTCTTACTTTGAGAGAAGATCACAAATTACAAGCATTTGAAATCAAATGCTGGGGAAAATATTTGCACTTAAGAAGCATGAAGTAAGAGAGTGAGCAGTTTACAGTATTGCATGAAGAGGAACTTAATATTGTTGAGGAAGTAAAATCTGAGAGGTTATGATGGGCTGGACATGTAGCTGAAGTGATTACAGAGGAGGAATGCAGTGGAAATTTGATGAGAAGTAGCTTGTTTCCGACTGGAAACATTGATACATTCATAACAAAACTAGATACAATACTTAGAAATCTATATACCTCAACACAACAATATATTATTTGTGGGGATATTAATATAAATTACCTTCTTAATAGTGAAAAGAAAAACAACTTAGATACCTTATTGAGAACATATAATTTAATAAGTTCAATAAATTTTCCCACTAGAGTTCAAGGAAATTCTGCTACAGCCATTGATAATATTTACATCGATATTACTAGAAGGGAAAATTATTCTATAAGGCCTATAATAAATGGATTATCTGATCGTGATGCACAATCCATAACATTTAAACAATAAACATGAGAACACATGCTAAACAATTTAAAATAATAAGGAAAATAAGGAAACATAATGAATGACTTTTTAATTAAACTAAGTTATGAAACATGGGACTCAACATTTTCTAGTGATGATATTAATATAATGTTTAACTCCTTCTTAGACACTTACTTGAAAATTTACTATTCCAGTTTAAAAAAAAATCAAATTCAAATAAAATAAATGATTGGATTACTGTAAGAATACTAATGTCCTGTAAATGTAAAAGAGTACTGTATATGGCATGTAAAAACAGTAATAATTCAGAATTAAGAATCTGTTATAAAAAATACTGTAAAATTTTATCTAAGGTCATTAAGGAAGCTAATAAACTAAAATATGATAACAAAATTCAAAATTCCAAAAATAAAAATAAAACCATATGGGATATAGTAAAATTAGATACTAATAAGAGGCCAAATGATGACAAAATATGAACATTAAAGGTGGACAGAAAATGGATTAGAGAAAAGCGAATAATTGTGGAAACCTTTAACAATTACTTTTTATCTGTAGCTGAAAATAAAAATGCAAAAAATAAATAAAATAATACTAATATTAGTTACCTTCCAGACACTACTCCCATTCAGTATTTAATGAAAACTTTTATAAATTCCTTTCCACATATTAAAATTAAATCTTTGTCAACTAAGGAAGTGAAAATATAATTAAATCTCTCAAAGCAAAAAAATTTTATGGATACGATGAAATATCCACTAAAGTATTAAGAATGAGTTCCCTTTTCATTAGCTCTCCTTTGACTCGCATATGCAACAATTCATTATCACAAGGAATTTTCCCAGATCGTTTCAAATACTCAGAAATAAGACCGCTGTTTAAAAAGGTGATAAATCAAATATTTCCAACTATAGGCCTATATCACTTTTAACTTCGTTCTCTAAGGTATTAGAAAAAGCTATGAGCACACAATTGATTGAGCACTTAAATAACAATAACATTTTAGTGGAAGAGCAATTTGGTTTTAGAACAAAATCTTCAACAGATGAGGCTATATACAAGTTAGTGAATGAAATCTATTAGCAGAGAGTCTTGAACTTATTAAGGAATCATTTCAAAGGAAATTTTGGTTACGTGGTCTTGTTGAAAAAAAAGTTGTTTAAATGTTTTAGGTTTTGCAATATTTAAAAAGAAAGTTTAATTCTAGCTCCTCGTGTAGCAGTTATCAGAGAAGAAGGTTCCAATGGTGACAGAGAGATGGCAGCATCTCTTTTCAGTGTAGGTTTTGAAGTTTGGGATGTGACAATGCAAGATCTTCTGAACAAGCAAGTTACATCTGATGATTTCCAAGGAATCATTTTCCCTGGAGGATTCAGCTATGCAGGTGAGTTAGAAGCCAAGTTCTAGTAATTGAGAATGCAGCAAAAATGAGTAGCTTTTCTTGTGTTGAAATTTATTGTACATCTTCATGTAACTTTTAGGAGGAAACAAAATATTTTTATTTCATAACATAATTTCCTGTGCAGAGACTTGAAGCAATAACCTTATTATAAATATACACAAAAAGAAAAAGAATAAACAGGCTGCCAAAGGCCATCAGCATCTGTGTGGGTTTGCTAATTCTGAGAGAATTGTGTGCTTTAAAAAGTATAAAGATTAGTAATAAAATGTTTGTTTATTGGCCAGAATATTTTTTTCAGTGTAATTTATTATTTATTTGGGACACAGCTAATGTTACAATTAAGAATTTTGGATAAGTATTGGAATTACTTCTTTTTTTTTCCCCAGATGTGCTTGGGTCTGCAAAAGGCTGGGCAGCAAGCCTGCTGTTCCATCCATCACTGAGAAATCAATTTCAAGCATTTTTGAACAGAACAAACACTTTCAGCCTTGGAGTATGCAATGGTTGCCAACTCATGAGTTTGCTAGGGTGGATAGGGTTGAAATCACAAGGTATGTATGTCAAATATATTGTGTAGTTATAATACTGTAGACTTCCAGTTGGGAGGTGGTCAATTTGAATTTCATCTGGGACAATGGCTAGCCTGACTGAAGTTTTTCATGGTTTTACTTAGTCCCTTTAGGAAAATGTTAAGGTAGCACCTTTGTTGGGACACTACCACTGCCTACCAGATCTTTTCAGATTCAGTATTGACCAATCATTGTAGCATTTGGTGCTATATAGCCTGAGATACTGATAGCAATATAAAATAAAATAAAAAGAAACCATGCAAGCTGTATAGTTGACATGACATATATGTTTATACCATGAAATGTTTCATTTCGTGCCCCTGGATGTAACAGTTTTTTTTTTTTTTTTGTAATGCTAGTGGGGTGGGACTAAGTCCGTTGTACTGTGGCCACTTCTGGCCTATTGTACCAGCCCCAGATGATAGGTGAGGGTGACTGGATCAATTGGTGGAATGAAGATTGGCAGGGGAAACCAAAGTACTCAGAGAAAACCTGCCCCAGTGCCACTTTGTCCACCACAAATCCCACTTGACCAGACCCGGGATCGAACCCGGGTCGCCAGGATAGAAAGCCAGCGACTAACCGCTTGAGCTATGGCGCGGCCGGGTGTAACAGTTACTCATTTTAATGGATAATGACTAACAGCACTGAAGCAGAAATATGACCTACCATAGGAAACTTCTGTCACTGTTTTTAAATGTCAATTTCTTTTGCATCCTGTTTATTTATTTATTTATTTACATTTATACATTCCGTTGATCCTTATGGTACAGCTGACCAGTGGATATGGATTTTGTCCCAAGCTAATAGATTAAAATACACAAATACAAAACTACATACATACTTTTGTCATTAAGACAGTTAAAAGATTTATATTAATGTACAATGCATAAAATGATCAAAATTATAAAACAATAATTGATACAAAATACTTAGGTAATGATATAAAATTATAACATATCAGGGGTACAATTACCAATTTTAATTACATACATGGTTAAAGTATTCCTCTAAGGAATAAAAAGAATTTGAAAGAAAAAATCTTTTTAGCCTCAGTTTAAATAGTTTCACATCATTACTCATACTCTTGATTCTGGATGGCAGGTGGTTATAAGCCTTAATACCAAAATAATATGGTCCTTTCTGAAAGATTGTTAGGCGTGATGTGGGAAGGTGCAAATTTGTGGTATGTCTAGTATTAAGATTGTGGGTCTCATAGTTTGAACTGTATAGGTCTCTATTATTTACAACAAACAGAATTATAGAGTATATATACTGTGAGTACATTGGTAATATTTTTAGGTTTTTGAATAGTTCCCTACATGAGTCTCTAGTTCTTACATTCATAATAGTTCTAATGATCCGCTTTTGCATTCTGAAAACATTTATACTAGTTGCTGAGCTACCCCAGAAAATTATCCCATATTCCATGATAGTATGCACATAGGCAAAGTAGATCATCCTTAGGGTTTCCTGTGACATGAGACCTCTTACAGTTCTAATTGCATAGCAAGCTGCACTCATTTTAATTACTAATTTATCAATATGAGACTTCCATGATAATGTTTCATCAATATAAATACCTAGAAACTTAATATTTGGCACATTAGTGATATTCTTATTTTGATGATATATGCTTATGTCTGTTACCAAACTATTTTTAGTCCTGAACAGGAGATGGTGGGTTTTATTAAAATTTAAGGATAGCAGGTTAGCTTCAAACCATTTGTTTATGGCTAAGAATTGTTTATTCATATTAATTTCCAAATTATGAGGGCTCGAATCGGATATTATGATACTAGTATCGTCAGCGAATAAAATAATCTTCGCATTATTTGTTATTACTTTGGGTAAGTCATTAATATACAATAAGAAAAATAAAGGACCTAATATAGAGCCTCGTGGGGCACCATATTTGATGATCTCCCAATCAGAAAAGGTGGTATTATAGGTTGTCCTATTATTTAATACTACCTTTTGGTATCTATTGTTCAAATAAGACTTGATTAATTTTTTAAATACTCCATTTATCCCATAGTATCCCAGTTTATTTAAAAATATTTCGTGGTTAACACAGTCAAATGCTTTCTTCAGGTCACAGAAAATGCCCCCAATAGTTAATTTATTGTTCATGGCTACTAAAATTTCATTTAATAATTTAAAAGAGGCCCTATTTGTTGTAGAGTTTTTTCTAAATCCATGTTGATCGCTAGCAAGTATCTTATTTTGTATTAGATGCTGGTTAAGCCTTGAATATATTACCTTTTCAAATACCTTAGAGAAAGCCGGTAACAAAGATATTGGTCTATAGTTAGAGATGTTAAGTTTATCCCCACTTTTAAATACTGGTTTTACTATTGAAAATTTCAGTCTAGTTGGGTAAATTCCTGAAGAAAGAGATTTATTTACAATATATGTTAGCGGAGAACTAATAAATAGGGCACTAGCTTTCAATATTGCGACAGGTATCTCATCATAACCATGGGAGTATTTGGCTTTTAAGGATTTGATGATTCCTTCTATCTCATGGGTAGAGGCATGCTTAGGTCGAATATTTGACAGCGGACTCGTGAACATTGAGGACATATAATTTAAATAGTTATCATGCATAGGCTGTCCAGTTTTACTAATACTTGTATTATCAATAATATCCTCAGCAACTGTTACAAAATAATCATTAAGATTTTTTGCCATGATTTGTTGGTCGGAAGTTATAATACCCTTAATATCAAGGGATTGAATGTCTACTTTATCTTCTTTTTTCCCAATTTCAGTTTTGATTATGTTCCAAATAGTTGTTACAGTATAAAGGCTCTTGGCATAGTGTGAGTTGAATCATTGTGAAAGCTTCAGATCTTACATCATTATATAATTCATTTTAAATCAGTATAGTTTGTTTCCATATTTCCTTCAGAGAACTTTTATTATGTTATTTTCCACTTTAACTCTATCTGCTCACAAATAAGATTGTGCATATGACATGACATACTGTTAATGAAAGTGACTGGCATCAGGAAGGACGATTCAGTGGGACCTATTTCATCAACAAATTTCATACTATTTTCAGGTTGCACACATGAATTTTTATTACAAACATTTTATTTTATCCAGTGGCATAGAATGTTTGATATTTGATGCTGTTTGTTTAGTTTAAGAGAGCTGGTATAGAGCAGTCGATATAGTGACTGGCTATGGCCTGGACGACCAACGAGTCGGAGTTCGAGTTTTGATGGGGGCAAGAATTTTCACGTCTCCATGTCCTTCAGACAGGCTCTGGGGCCCACCCAGCCTCCTGTCCAATGAGTACCGCGGGCTCTTACCCGGGGGTTAAAGCTGCTGGGATGTGAAGCTGAACACTCACTGCCAACTAATGCTGAGGTCAACAAAAGCGTGTGCATATAGCCACTACCCCATACATCTTCATGGCGTAGTGCTTAATTAGTTAAACACAACGACATTACCTTTTTTATTTTCTTTAATTATTAGTGTGATAAAAATATGTTGGATAGGATGGAGCCCAATTCATTTGCCTTATGACACATTATAAATTGCAGAAGAGAGTGCAGCATCAAAGGAACTGCTTGTACCTGATGTTGTGCTCGAACACAATTTGTCAGAGAGGTTTGAATGTCGATTCAGCACAGTCCGCATTGAAAGAAGTCCATCAGTTATGCTCCAGGGAATGGAGGGATGTATACTTGGAGTCTGGATTGCACATGGAGAAGGTTTGCATTTTGTTACTGTTCTTGTTGCTGTTGTTGAAGCATTGATAACCACATATAAAACTATACAGCATCATAACCTAGAAAATAATGTAAATTTGCACTGTTGTGAAACCCTCAAATCTCATGTTAATATCTTGTGGATTTCTATGTTCCGAGAGGTAGCATCAGTGACCAGGTTATTGTGTAATACATTTATCTGATATTTGCAGGTCGCTTCACATTCCGTAATGAAAATGTGCTTGCAAGCTTAGACCAGAAATGCTGTCTTGCCATCAAGTATGTGGATGATGACGGAAAGCCAACACAGACATATCCGCTTAATCCTAATGGCAGTCCTTGTAAGTTGATATGGTAAAAATAAAGCTGTTGTCACATGTCACAGTGACTTAAGATGTGGGTTTTGGTTGGTAATTTGATTTACTGGATACTTACAGATTGTAACTAGAAATAATTTTAACACTATTGCGGATTTACACAATTTACAATCACTCCATGATAATCTTCTCAGCCTATCTGCAGTAGTCCTCATGGATTTGTAACACAGAAACTATAAAAGGTCTCACTGAATCACACACACTCCCAATGTCACTGTGCTACAGCACACATAAAGTCTTCAAATCACATGTTAAATCTTCTTTTACTCTACCTCAACTCTGAACTTCCCATGGCTATCTCCTACCGAGAACTGACACGTCCCTGAACTGAATGAGTTCTGTCACTTATATAGCCAAGGAACGGACACACATCACAGGAAACATGTGAAGTGACCACCACCCACTGCTGCGTGACATCACCATGGACACAGAAAACACAGCCTCCTCTTTTGTTGCATGTTGAACCATGTTTACAGAGCTTTTTGCATGGCAACATGTTGATCGATATTGTTGATATTGTCTCATGTTGCCTATGTGGTTCAACAGATAACTTCACATGGGTCTCAGATTTAGAGGATATTTATTGAACACTCACTCTTGCACACTCAAGTACAATTAGTATCACTTCAACTGCATTCTGTGGTGGCTATTTTCCAACTGCCTCTGGCCGTGGCTGGATCTCAACTGTCTTGGCGAATGCCTTCAACCCATTATACAGGGGTTTTTTGAACTGCTTAGAGAACACCATCTTCAACTGTCCGGTTTCACGTGTCCTACACTCATTACTGCGGAAGTGCGTTATTCTCGCTGGTTAGACAACCTGTTGCTTAGGAAATTCATTTTTTCCCTTTACATAACATTTCAAACAGTTCATTGTAACCTTGGAGACTCACTGTTAGAATTACCATGGGGGTAACCCTTCCGGATTCCAAACACCTGACAATATTATCTTACATGTTTTATTGCATGTGAAACTTGGTCTCTTACCCAGAAGGAAGAACATAAATTGAGGGTGTTTGAGAGCAGAGTGCTAAGGAGAATATTCAGAGTTACAGGAGAGGATGTAACAGGAGGATTATTAGGATTAGATGGACATAATATGTATCATGTGTACAGAATTTTAATCAGGAAATCAGATTCGAATAGATGGCATGGGAAACATGCCACTAGAAGGGAAGATGTTAATAACAAACCTTCAGGTTCTTAAGAGGCAGGATATTCTTGACCAGCTTTTCAGGAAAAAAGGTCCTTCATGGATTTCATGCTCTGTGGGTCATCTAGACTAATGTCAAATATGTGGAATTGTAAATATTCTGTCATCTTTTTACCTCTACTTTTTTGAGGGTTGCTTAACACAAGTTTATCTCTTTACTGCAGGTGGTATTGCTGGAATATGCTCTGAAGATGGCCGTCATCTGGCCATGATGCCCCACCCAGAGCGTTGCACACAGCTATGGCAGTGGCCCTGGATGCCAGCTAGTTGGTATAACAAGTATACTGTATCGCCGTGGTTACGTGTCTTTGAAAATGCCTTCAACTGGTGTGTTATGAATACATCATAACATGTGGGACAGTTCTGAGGCATTTTATGTTGTCTCTCTCTTATGTTATTTATGTCACATGATGAAATTGGGAGGACCATGAAGGAAGTTTGAGTGTGAAGAACATCTAAATAAGTCGATAATCAATCATGATAAGCCACCTGCCCATAGTTTTTGTGGCCTGTCTCTGATGTGTAACTTCGGCTTTTGGAGTTTAGACACATTATATGTTGAGGCTGTTTCGTTGTTGTGGCCTACATTGCAGTTTGCCATCTTGAAGGATTCTCATATTCATATTACCTGCTCTGAAAGTGTTGGATGACCCCGCAGTTGAATTTGTCAGATTAATGAATGATGATCAGACTCCAGACATTTGAATCTGTTAGATTATCTTATCATTTGAGTCTCTGAAGTTATTGCATCAGAGAATTTCAAATGTATGGCTTCTGATATCACAACATCTAATGAGCCATCAAGCAATGGTAAAGATGAGTTTAAGCTTTAATCTGAGAAAAATGGGGTCATATTCAACACTGATAAAGAATATGGTTGAATTATACACAAAATGCCTATTTTTAGCACTCAGAATGGAAAATTGTTCTGTACGTAACAAATCTGCTGAACTTAATAAATATTTCTGTATGAATATTTTGATATGTTTTACACAATTTATGTGAGATTCATTTGAATCCATAGAGCTGTTCATTTATATCGTCCTTTGAAATAAACATTTTTTGGTTGTCGCCAGATATATGGCTGAAATATTCAGTTAATATTTCCCAGCCTGTTGATGATGCAAATAATAAATAATAAAAGCAATATTTCTGAATCTCCTTTATCATATTCTGTTTTTAATAATGTTGTAACATTTCCATCTGTTGTTCAATTTAGTGGACACTCATTTATGACTGTAATATGTATTGTGCATTGAATTTTTATTTTGATAGATTGGTAATGATGTAGAATTTTGTTGAAATGTCATTAAATGTACATGCTTCTGTATATCTGTTTGCTAGTATTTCTGTATGCTTCTATCCAATAAATTTGTAAGTATCCGGGGAGAGATACATTATATCTGACATAATGTGAACAAATTTGAAATGAGATGCTGGCACCTCATTGCAAATGACTGGTTTGGTCCCACTGTAATACATGTGTGATTTGTAGTAAGTAGAGAGTGTGTGTGAGGAAAATTTTGTTTGAGTATCAAAATTGATGACTTATTGCCTTTATATCAGTTACACATAATATTGTGACATGTCTAACCTTTGCTGGGCAATGGGAGGTGGAACGAATTATCACGAAGACATAAACGGTCGGTTGCCAAGTCGTGCAACGGTGGAAACAAGGTTATGCAACAGTAAGGAAAGTGGTGCTTCTCCGTGCCATGCCTAGCCAAGCCAAAGCACGCTTGTTGCTACGCAGCAATAAACAACTCTTTGTGGCATTGCCAAGCACGGCATCATGCAACAGTGAAGCAAGCTATGTTTTCTGCTGTCCAGCTGAGGGTTTATAAGAGAGACTGGGATGCCTAAGGAGTCAGTTGAAATGTAGCAGCTGCTGAAGCCAGTTAGTAATCAGAGTATTTGGTGCACTCGCACCGCCTGCACTCGCCTGGTTCATTTGTAACTAGTGGATTGTGAATGTGAATGAGTTGAAATGTAGCAGCCACTGAAGACAGTATTTGGGGTATTCAACAAGTATTTGGAGTGAGTGCAAGACAACCGCAAGAAGAAGAAGAATGGAACATGTGTTATACTGAAGATAGTGTGAAGAGATTTGTGAGTAGGGTTTGTAAAGTGTGTAAATCTGCAAGAGTGTTATAATTGATTCTATTTATGACTTGTACGTTGTTAATAAAACCAATTAACAATCCAAACAGTGTCTTCAGTGGCAAAGCACTTTACAATATTAATTTAAACTCAGATATGACATCTATAAATACAGCATGTTAAAATAAAACCTTTATTGCACTACATGTTTTGGCAGCTCGCATTCCAATGTCAGGCATGCTTCATCAAAGCACTTTTGTGTGAAGTCTTACGATTCTTAATATAAGATAAAATTAAAAATACATTAATAATTCATAGAATTCATTCTTTACATTTCATAGCCATTGAATTCCTTATTGCTCTTGTTTACATATATTATTGAAAATTGCATTTTCAAGCCAGAAGGTCGTGGATTTGATTCCTGATATCACTGGACTTTTCACTTGACCTAATCCTTTCAACCTCACTATGGCCCTGGGGTCAACTCAGCCTCTAACAGAAATGAGTATCAGAAATTTTACTTGGGTGTAAAGAGTGGCTGGCAAGTAAGGCTGACAACCTTACCGCCATCTGTGAGTAGATTAGATATTGTGGGACCCTCAACGTCTCACAAGCATATGGGCTTCCATGGCCTGCTACTGGGATAGATTTATGTTTTACCATAGGAATTAAATTAACACAATGGTAACAGAATTGTCAGTGATTAAGCAACAAGTACTGAAGCCTTTACATCATGAAGGAAAGGAACATACCCTACTGGATCCCTTGGAAAGCTGAAGAATTTTAATTTCTTCTGTGTATGTGTTGAATGGCACCCCAGTGCAGAACATTGTACTTTGTACTGCAAGAAGCAATACAAATATTGTAACACAGTTTGTTCTGATATGTGACTCATTCTGTATCCAATGGTTTGTGAATATACTTCTCAACCTGTATCTCAATCTGCTTGAATTTGAAATAAATTAACAATGAACAACCCCCCATTTTGATCCGTTATGTTGCTTTATAACAGTTTCATTACTAGTTTCATGTTTAGTTAGTCACATGCTTTTAAATAGAATTGTATGTGTTTCATTGTTCAAGATATTGTATTCTAATACATAATTTCTAACTAGTTGAAATATTTTAAATATACCCTACTGCATATGAATTTTAAACTTATAGAATGAGCCAATCATTGATACAAAACAATTATACAAAAGAAGACTTACCTTCATATACTCTTGCAGAACGTATATAAGCACTTAACATGTTTCAACAGCAGCAACACTTATTTCAGCAGGTGACATGACAGCTGAAAACTTGAGGTCTTCAAAGTTTCTTCCTGTAAGCAGGTACCTCAGGGTCACTGCTAATCTTTCATTCACCAGTAAACTCTCCCTCATATTAGTGTCCTTCCTTATTAAAAATGTTTCGACCATTCTCAGCAACTTATCAAATATTCCTTCACTCATATGAAAATAGTTTCTGCAATCTTCTGATTCCATCACACCAATTTCTTTTAGCAGAGCAACATGGGAATACTTTTCGCATTTTTGTAACCAGTTTCTCATCCAGCGTCGGCGCTTAACATTTCGTTTTGTGCCTGATGCTAAAATTATAGCAGTACACGCTTTTTTGGCGAGGATCCAACATAATAGTCAAGAAAACTGACACAAAATAAATATGCTTTTCTCTTGATGAGTTGAGTGGTACTGAAGCAAATAATGTCGTTTCAAATAATCATGTAAGGTTGATGAGTAATGAAGGAAGGCTTTTGGGGGTAATGACATTATTTTTGATCATGTAAGGCCAGCTTTATCCATCGTTATGTCATGGTTTTGCCCTGAATTCAGGTGATGAGACAGCAAGAAATATTTGATTTTCTCTGTGTTTACTTCTAGATCAACCTCCTTATTAGTGTCACTGTGTTTTTCTTTATGGTATCCACGTTCTCCCAATAGACTTTACATCATGAACGTAGACCAGAAACTGCCCCATTTAATTTTAGTCCCACTTGGTTTTCCTGGACATTCCTAATATATTCTAAAGCGAAGTTGAAAACCAATGGCCATAAAGCATCCCCTTATTTTGGAGCATTTTGGACAGGGATCATATGAGAAAAATGTTTATCTATATGGACTTTACAATAGGTTTCATATTAACGCATTTTTATCAAACTTAACTAATGCTTTCCTCATGAAATTTCAGTAGTCTAGAAAGGTCTAAAAGTCTGTGATTGGAGAGAAGTCTGAAAGGAATTTTATTGTTTGGAGGTTGGTGCCTGTTGAAGGTTGTTGTTGGCTGTGTTGGTTTCCTGCCACTAATATATTTCCTGTTTGCAAGAGTAAAATAATGATTACCTCCTAACTGAAACTTAGATAGCAAGGCGCAGTTGGCCCTTTCAAATGCTTCCCATTTCTTCATCCCAAATACCTAAGGGTGCGGGGACTATAGGGACATATCCTGTATGAAATATACACAACTATCCAGTAGATGACGGAGCGGATGCCAACATATGCAGATGAATTTAAAAATCAGTCAACAGATGGCAGAGGAATCCCGATTAGTATAAAGCAAAACAAAATGGCGTAAAATGAGAGTACATTTATGCGGAAGTTATCGTTGCGTGGGAGTGTAGTACACATTTGTCAGTGGTTGTCTGGTGTGTTGGTGGCGAAGGAGGTGGACTATGTGTCCCTAAATTTGAATGGTGTGCAGTTAGTGTAGTATTTGAACATGGGGGTGGGTCTTCAGCCACTAGAATTTTCGGACTGTTTAACTGATAGTCCATATTTTAGAGAAAAACTTCACACGCACGAGAAGGAACTAGAAAGAACGAGTCAGCAAATAAAAGGTCTAGTGAAAGAAGTCAAAGACTTGCTCAGTGCTGCTAAAAGTAAGTTATGACATTTCATAAATATCCATCTCTTTTAAGACAGAATTCTGCATTTGTGTATAAATACTTCCTCATGGATTGACGTGAAGGTTAATTGAGCGTCAGTTTGCTGTCTGAATGATGAAGCAACGATCATTTGCGTAGCAACTTCTGAACAGTGACCATATGAATGGAAAGAAAACCGAGTATTTACCACACTGCATGTTGCGGACAAATTATAACTTGTAGATTCTAAAGGGTTCTGACGATGGTGTATGACACACAGGATTACTGGGGTTTTTTACTTTTTCCATCGTCCGGAATTCTAGGTAATAGAGAACACGACGTTTCGGAAACTGGATCTGTTTCCGTCTTCAGGTGAGAAAGGAAGACACCTACTCAGTTGGGCCCCTTTGAAGACGGAAACAGATCCAGTTTCCGAAACGTCGTGCCCACTATTACCTAGAGTGCCCTCTATTACCTAGAATTCCGTACAATGGAAGAAGTCCAAAAACCCAGTAATTCTGCTGAAATTATAACTTCTCATATAGACACAGAAAGGAAAGGTTAAGCAGTGTTAAATGGAAAATCACACAAGCAACTCCGTGAAGCAGAGTCCTGGGTCATTTATCCACTTAAGAATTTATTAACGTTTTATGGAAACCATTACTGTTTCCAGAAGAGCTCCCCACAGGTCCTAATCTTGAGCCAGATGAATTCAGTCCATACCACCTCATTCTGTATCTCTAAGATCAATTTAATATTATCCTCCTATCCACGTTGAAGCCTTCGTAGTGGTCTATTTCCTTCTGACCTTCACGAAACCGCGTATGCATGCTCCTTCCATCTGTGCTACACGCTTTTCCCATCTTATCTAGCTGCATTTTGTGAAGAGTACAAATTATGAAATTTCTCATGCAGTTTTCTCCAGCTCCTGTTATTTCATTCCTCTTGGGGAAAAAATATTCTTCTCAGTACCCTGTTTTCAAACACCCTCAGTTTGTATTCTTCCCTTAATATCAGAGACCAAGTTGAACATCCGGATAAAACTGCAGGCAAAATTATAGCTTTATATGTTTTAATCTTTATGTTTTTAGACTTCAGCTGGGAAGACAGGTTCCAAACTGAATGCCAGGAAGCATTACCCGAATTTAATCTGTTCTTAATTTTCTCATGAATTAAATTTTGATTTGTTAATGTCATTCAGAAGTATTTGAACTCAGCCACATTTTCAAAGGATCTGTTAGCTATCCTTGATTTTATCATGCATTCTGGTGACGAGATATCAACGTATACGTAGATTTCTCATGATTTACTCCCAGACCAACCTACTTAACTGGCATCAGTTATAGCTTCTTTGTTTTTCTTTTATGGTATTTATGATATACCATAACAGATTTACATCATCAGAATAGGCAAGCAGCAGATGTGTTCAATTTAATTTCGTAGTCAACGAGAAAAACGGTGGGGATAAGACTCACATTTTTATACCATTTTGAATAGGAAACATCAGACAAATTATTACTTATAGGAACTTTATTATAGATTTCCTTTAAAACGCATTTTAATAAGCGTGATTAGTTTCATGGGTGCACCAAACTCAATGAAAAATTTTACAGTACAATATAAATACAATATGCAGTGTACAAAATACAATGTGATATAAATAATACAGGGGATGGACAAAACTATGAAAACACCCAACAAAAAACACATTACCGTGACAAATATGGAGTAGGACAACCTCTGGCTTGCAGAACTGCTTGCAGTCTCCTTGGAATGGATAAAGAGAGGTCCTGTATGATTTTCAAGGGAATCTTGTACCATTCTTCCTGCAAAACTTTGGCAAGTTCTGTTAACGACGGTGGAGGTGGGTAGTGTGCACGCAGATTGCTCTCCAAAACAGACCACAAAGGCTCAATAATATTGATATCTGGCTATTGTCGGGGCCATGGCAGACGTGACACTTCATCTTCGTGCTCAGAAAACCAGTCCTGGACGATGTGAGCAGTGTGAACACGGGCATTGTCATCTTGGTAAATGGCATCACCATTGGGGAACAAAGTTTCCACCATGGGTTGGACCTGATCGCCCAAAATGGTCACATAGCCGTTGGCAGTGACGTGACCTTGCAGGGTAATGATGGGTCCCACAGAATACCACGATATGGCTGCCCATACCACGATCGAATCCCCGCCATGTTTCACTTTTGGCAGCAAACAGTCTGGATCGTAAGCTTGGGATGGCGTTCTCCAGACGTAAACTTCGGCCAGAAGTCAGAAACAGTGTGAAGGTGGACTCATCCGACCAAATGACCGTCTTCCAATACTCCATATCCAGGTTTTATGACTTCGGCACCACACTCTCCTCTTAGTGGCATTTTGATCACTGATGAGTGGCTCTGGAATTGCAGCTCGTCCAGAAATACCTTGTTTCTGGAGTTCCCTTCGTACTGTTTTGGTGCTGACAGGGTTTGTGAGCGTCACATTCAGTTCAGCAGTCACTTTTGCAAATGCAGTCTTCTTATTTTTTGTCACAATCCTACGCAATGTTCGTCTGTCTAGATCACTCAACACACATTTCCGTCCACGCTGGTATTTATCGGATGCGGTTTTTCCAGTCCTCTATGTGGTCATAATCTAGGATACTGTGCCTCGCGAAACACCAAAAACCTCGGCTGCCTTGGTTACGGAAGCACCCACCATACAGGTCCCCAACAATTTGCCCGCGTTCGAATTCTGTTAGCTCTGACATGATGCACTAAAAACTGCACAGAACACTGTCTCGACAACAGACGAAGCTTGCAACGTATTGCGGAGGTTGTACAGGTAGTGCTATTGGGCAGATACGACATCGTCACCTACAAACATCGCTAAAATAAACACTTCAATTCCGGCATATATTTCACAAGGTGTTTCCATATTTTTGTCCATCCCCCTTGTGAAATTTACAATCTGTAACCCTAAACTGCACTACAGTAACTGGAAAGTACTATTGTGGTACACGGTGTGTCCAGGATCCGTTAGGACTCTTTTTTTTTTTTATTTTGCCCTGCAGTGTCATCTGTTGGCGAGTTGTGGCGTTAAGATTCTTGAAATTTCAGCTGTGGATGTTTATAATTTAAAAGCACAAGCATCGCTGCATCATTTGTTCTGACCTTGAATGTAACAGTACTGTTCTGACGCTCGTCGGAAAATAGCGGTTGAACAGAGAGCCAACATAAAATTTTGTTTCAAGTTAGGTAAAACAGCCGGAGAAGCGTATGAAATGACGAAGAGTGTCTACGGTAGTGATTGTTTGAGTCGCTCGAACGTTTTTCGATGGTATGCTGTATTTCGTGACTGCAGGGAGGACATTGAAGACGCTCCACGTGCATCAAAGCCGAGATCAAGTCGCACTGAAGAAAATGTGGAAAAAGTGACCGAAATCCTTGCATCAGACAATGTGTTTCTGCAAGACTCGTCGAGGAGCTTTTGTGAATACCAGAAAGCACTGTGCATCAAATTTTGACCGAGGATTTGGGCAAACGGAAGGTCTTTGCGCGGGTTGTACCGCACGCGCTGTCAGGCGATGAAAAACATGCCAGAGTGGAACACTGCAAAGACATGTTATGGTCGGCCCAAAGTGATACAGAATTTACAAAAACGATTGTTACTTGTGACGAGACAAGGCGTTTTCAATATGAGCCTCTCACAAAGCGGCAGAGTGCAGCGTGGTTGAGCCCAAAGAAGCCGAAACCAAAGAAAGTGCGCATGCAAAAGAGTCTAGTAAAGACACTGCTAACCGCTTTCTTCGATTGCAAAGGAATCATTCACAAGGAATTTCTGCTAGAAGGTCAAACAGCAAATTCTGATTTATCTCGGAGTCCTCAAACGTTTGTGGGCGAGAATTCTTCGAATTCGATCTGAATACCGAGAGCAAGGTTCCTGGTCGCTCCTCCACGACAATGCCCCACCCCACACATCGAAGATCGTGCACGATTTTTAGGCCAAGAAAAGGATCACAGCCCTTGATCATACTCCATATTCGCCAGATTTGTCTCCAGCAGATTTCTGGTTCCCAAAAGTTAAGTTGACGATGAAAGGAGACCGTCACGGCACCATCCAGGATATACAAAGGGAATGTACCGCAGTTTTAAATGCAATTCCACAAAAGGAGTCCAGTGACTGTTTTCGAAAACTTTTCAATCTATTCCAGCTATGTATTGATTCAGAAGGAGACTGTTTTGAATAAAAAGAGTGACATTTTGAAAATAATTCACGTCTTGTAGTTTTAATGAACACAGTCCTAACAGAACCTGGACACACTGTGTATGTTAGCCTTATCTTTGCATGAACTTCAGCTCGTCTGCATTCATCTTTACAATCTGAAGAATATATCACAGATATTCTGAGAATTTAGACCAACATTTTGTAGCAGGTAGTCAATATATAGGTATTTTTTTTTTAACTTTGTTGACGGGTTCACGGCTCTGCGCTTCACGGCAGCCGGTGCACCGCCGGCTGCGGAAGGCACACGAATTTTACCGATGAATGAAAATGCCTCATGGCCAGTAACATTTGGAATGAAGGGAACTAATCAACTCGTGGACCGCTTGACTGCATTTTGTTTCAAGGCGAGCAGTACTGTTTGTTTATGATTTGTCAGCAGTAGGCAGCAGTTATCAGCTCCGTTAGTAGTTTGCTGTCAGTTACAGTTAGTGAGCAGTGTGGTACATCATGGTGTGGTATACTGTAGAGCAAAGGGATTTTCTGTATGACACCTATGTTAAATACGCTTCTGCTAGAAAGTATCGGCGAATATTTCGACGTAAGTTTCGTGATGAAAGAGATCCCAGCAGACAAGCAGTTCGCAATTTGGTGAATAAACTCGGAACAACGGGACTCCTAATAGACAAGAAAAAAAAAACATAAGCGCCGAGTGCTTACTGAATAGAAGTTAGATGACATAGGGGCCAGACTTGAACATACACCTAGAAAATCACTGAAACGTGTAGCTCAGTGGACTGGAGTGTCAAAATC